ACTGAAGACCTCGAGGCTCTGGATGTGTGCGTGAAGCGTGTGAAAGTTTTAGTTCGAATGTTTGATGCAGTGCTCTCCTGCTACCCCAAGATGGAGTTCCGTCGCTCTGCCAGAGGCCCTCGGACGACGGCGGCTGTCAGAGATCCGAGTTGGCACGACTGGTGCGAGATCGACTCGGGAGTAGCATGGAGGTGCACCAAGTGTTTCTTGATCACCTGGGACCAGGACAGATCGATGGTAGGGTGCAAAGGGATCCCCACTGCTTTTCGGTATCTTAAGGATGCCGAAGAACGGGGGCACCTCTTAGCTTGCTCAATGATTGACAACGAAGCCCAGGAACCTTTAGTGTTTTGCTATAGGTGTGGGGCCTACTCTTCGAGGAGGTGTGTTTTGCTGGCGACGCGGTGCTGTGGAAAGCTGGGCACGAGATCCCAGACCTTATCCCGTATCAAGCAGGGGCTTCACCCGCACTTTTACAATGATAATCGTGTCACGGACCCCTGCCGTCGCTCTGCTGGTTTTGTCATGGAGGTCGCGGCCACACAAGGTGGTAGACAGACGGCCTCCCGACTGCGCCTCGTGTCGACTCCTGGCATGGAGGCCTTGGCGGCCCGCATTCGTGCGCGGGAAGAAGCCGCAGCTGCCCCCCGTCGATCGGGGTAGGCAGGGTTTTCGTTTTAGTTCTGCCCCGAGGGCCCCCGAGGGAAAATCCTCCTCCTCCTCCTCCTCGTCTGCCCCCTCCTTCTCCTGCTCATCGTCCTCCTCCTCCTTCTCCTCCCCCTCCTCCTCCTCCTCCTCCTCCTCCTCCTCCTCCTCCTCCTTCACCTCCTCCTCCTCCTCTTCCTCCTGCTCCTGCTCCTTCTCCTCCTCTTCATTCTCTTCCACAGTTACACAATATGAATTCTACTCTCCTCTCTCCCCTGATGACGTCCGGAAGATATCCAGCCCCCCTCCGCGTACGGTTTTTTACACAGCATGCCCGGGAACTGGGCTTTCGCTTGGGCTTTTTTCAACAATGTTGCTCCCGCTGAAGTGCTGGCCTCATTTTCGGGCTTCCGCTCGTCCCGAACTGTGCTCGCGCTGCAGCGCTGGCGTCATTATTCCCAGTGCCATGCCATGGCTAGGGGACCACATGCGAACCCTACCCCTACCCCCCACGATTTCTGAGGGGGAGGGTGGGGTTCACTTCGTTCGGTACGCGTTGATCTTCAAAACCATGCTATGCCATGTAATGCCATGCCTTGCTGCGACATCCGATTGTGCGAATAGAGAGGAGATCTACGCCATGGTAAGGCATGGGATGGAGGGGTAGGACGTCAGATATGACGCGACCGCCCTCAGCTTGTCCTTCTCCTCCTCCTCCTCCTCCTCCTCCTCCTCCTCCTCTTACTGTGCTGCGAAAGGTTCCGGCCGCCCCGCGCCGGGGATGTCCCACGGACGTCGGCTCCGGGCCGCGTCTCGAGCGGCTCAACGGAAGCACCGCCTCTGCCTTTGGCCTGCACCCCCCCTTCTTCTCTTTTCAGGGGCAGCGATAGGGTGGGATAGGCATTATGGGGAAGGAAGGTGCACCGACCCCCACCGTCCGCTCATCGCCTGGACGGGTCTGATGGCCCCCACCCGCCCAGGAACACGAGGCATCGCCGATTCAAAGTCGATTCCTCTTCCCCCCCCCCCCCTGGTACCCGCCCCCCGGCCTCCTCCCTATCGTTGCCCCTCCCCTCCCTCGGTGGGCAGGTGCTCCTCCGCGCCCCTCGTAGCCCCAGGCGCTCCTGGCCCAGCGCCGCCCCCCTCCCCCCCCCCCCTGCCCTCCCCGGGCGCGGCGCGGCGGCCCGCGGAGGTCGGGGGCGGCCACGAGGGGGGGCGGTGACCAGGCCTGAGTCGGGCGTGTGCGTGGAGTCACTAAAAACATAGCTTGGGGACGATTTCCTTTTTTTTTCCGAGCATTCGTGAGCATGTTTTGATGTTTTTTGTGCGGTGGGGGCGTTGGCTGAGGGATGCGCCCAGGATGCTGCAGACCCTGGAGGGTTCCCTATCTGATGAGGGCGGCGGTGATGTCCAGGGCCAAGCCTCGGTTGGTGCTGCACCAGCTCCCAGACCCTGGATCCCTCACCCACTGGTCCCTCATCCACGCGGCCAGTGCCGCGGGAAGCAGCACGACGACGACGACGACGACGACGACGACGACGACGACGACGACGACGACGACGACGACGACGACGACGACGACGACGACGGCGACGGCGACGGCGACGGCGACGACGACGACGACGACGGCGACGGCGACGGCGACGGCGACGGCGACGGCGACGACGACGGCGACGACGACGACGACGACGACGACGACGACGGCGACGACGACGACGACGACGACGCGGCGGCGCGGCGGTCGTGGGCTTGGAGTGCAACGCTCCCTCCCTCCCAACGGCGGTCGAAGGAGTGCCCCCACCGCAGCTCTCGTCCCACGCCCGCCCGCAGGAGAGGGCCTGCCCGGCCCGCGACCCGGCGGGCGGGGGCCGGGCGCCGCGGCGGGGGGCCGCGGGGCCCCCCTCTGGGGGTCTCGGGGCCCTCCGCCTCCTGCTGCGTCGGCCTCTGCCCCGCGCCTGGGCGGCCCCCGTGCGCCCACGGGCCGCGGGGGACGTCGGCCGTGCCCCTTCCACAGGAGAGCTCTGCTCAAGACTCGCCCGCAGCTGGTCTGGGGGACGATTCTGCGTGCTCCCGTGACCCCATGCTTCGTGCGCCTTCTATGTTTTTTCTTCTTCTTCTTCTTCTTCTTCTTCTTCTTCTTCTTCTTTTTTTGTGTGTGTGGGTGGGTGCGACCAGTTTACGTGCTCCTTCCCGGGCCCGCCCGGAGGAGGACGTGCCCGACCAGAGCCCTGGCCCAGGGTCTGCGACCCCCCGCCCCCCTCTCCTGGACGCCCCCGACCCGCCCCCCGGCGGCGCGGCGTCCCGCCCCCGCGTTTCGCGCCGCGGCCTGGCCGGCGCGGCGCGCCGCCCACCGGGCAGGGCTGAACCCAAACGGTGCCGTTCGTTCCCGTGCTGTGCTCGCTTCCCCTCGCCTTCCTGCCTCGCATCCGCCCCTCTCACCGCAGGGCGACGTCGGAACGGCAGCGGCCCCCGAAGTCGCCCAGAGCACCGTTCAGGCCCAGCCCTGCCACCCGGCGGCCGGCGGCATGCCCAACATCGAGGTGCTGGACGGCCAGAGCCTGGCCGTGCACGGCCTGCCGCGGGGCGGCCCGGCCGCGTCAGGGCGGCGGGGGCCCTGTGCCGCGCGCCCCGGGGGCCGCCCGTCGGCGGCGAGCCCAGGGGGGGGGGTGCGCAGTTCGCAGGCGATCCCTCCCCCCTGATCCCCGACGTGTCGACGAGAGCTGGCCCCGACTTGGGGAGCGTTTTTTTTTTTTGTTCTTTCCTCTGGCGGGTAACGCTTGTTTACCCGGCTCCCCCCCCCCCCCCTGGGTAACGCCAACGATCGTGCGCTTTTTTGGGGGGGTGCGGAGGGCGGACCCCCCTCCTCTCAGCAGGTATGGCAATTGATGCGCCGATGGCGCGGACGCACCCTGGCGGGCGCACGCCGCGGCCGCCGTTACCGTTACCCACCGGCCCCCCCCCCCTTCTGGGTAACAGCTGTTACCCAAAATATCTAAAAACAGTTTCTCTTCGACCAATAATTACAAAGAAGCCGCTCAGGGGGGGAGGGGGGAGGGGAAACCTGGGATGCCAAGGGGGCTACTCGGACGCACCTCCATCGAGGATGGACGCCCCCCCGCGGTATCCCAGGTTTCCTTTAGGGCCCAGTACTTCTTGGTTCCATTCGAAAGCCGCACGAAGCCTGGGAGAGGGGTCGACATATCCCCTGTCAGCAGTGATGGGGGAGGCTCGAGGGAGGCAGCGCGGGGACCCTGACCCAGTCGTCGTGGGATCTTGTCGATGTCGACCTTGGTCGTGGTCTATGTAGGCCGCCGCCGAGTCGCGAGGACGATCCACGAGTCGACGCGGACCAAGCTCGACGGTGGCCCAGATCGACACGACGTCCCACTCGCAGAAGGCCAGAGGCCGTCCCAGGCTGTTGAGCAGGCCCGCCCCCCCCCCCCTGCCTTCCCCCCGGGCTCACCGCCGATCCGGAGGCGAACCCGCTCCGCATCTTCGGGGGCGTCCCCCCCCCCCCCCCCCCCGAGTATGGTGCCTCGTGCCCGGCGCGGGCTCGGCGCGGATGTGGCGCGACTTCGACGTGGATTCGATGCGATGCCGATGAGTTCGGCATGGACTCGACCAACGGCATGTGCACACATGTTCGACGATCCGCGCGGACCTCCCAGAAGTTATGCTTATGCAGCGATGTTCCTCTATCCAGGGGGGGACGATCTGCGACAGACAGCGAACCCCACCCTTCAGAGGAGGGAGAGATGCCGATGCCGCGGCTCGTCCTGGAGAGCCCTTGTCGCCACGGCTGGATTCGCCTGGAGGTTCTGATCAGAACGCACCCCAGGCCAGTGGAGAAGCGGTATATCGGCATTTGTTCCCACACCTGCTGGCACACTCGACGCTGGGGTATTGGACACTTGACTTGGCCGCAGACATCTTGCACATTCCAAGCCCCAGCCAGTTTTTTAAGATCTGACCTACAGGGGTAGGTTTTACAGGTGGTTGTTTAAAGAAGGTAGCGGCGTTGCCGCCCTTGCCTCGTTTTCGCTCTTTTGGGGCCTCTCCTTGGAGGCCCTCGTCGCCACGGCTGGATTCGCCTCGCAGTTCTGCTCATAATGCACCACGGGAGAGGTCTGGGGAGTGGCGGCGTCGGGATCGTCTGCTTTCCCCTTGGCCGAGGCCTCCCCTGGAAGCGGTGCGTGTGCCTCCCATCGACCACGGGAAATGTACAACAAAAACCTTTTTGGGGAGGTCCGCGCGGAGTTCTTGGGCTGGCGGCGCTGGCCCCCCCCGAGCTTCCTGGTTCCATGGGAGGGAGGGGGGCGGCGTGTACACCGCTCCAGGGCCCAGCATGCGCACAGACCTCGCCGCCCTGCACCGTCGCTCGAGCTCGTGAGCCCGCTGGAGGTCCGCTTCTCGCAGAACGTTATCAACCCCACGTTCTCAGACGGCCGCAGCGTCGACGAGGCCGTCGAGCAGCTCGCGGCCCAGCTCGCCCCCGCCGGCGCGGGCGCGCGTGGAGACCTCGGCGACCAGGTCGTGCTGGAGCCGCCGTTCCCCCCGATGGAGGCGGTGCGCTGGTGCCCGAAGCTGCGCGACGGCAACGGCAAGCCGCTGCTGGACGAGTTCGGGAACCCCCGCCACGGCAGCGAGGGCCTGTTCTCGGTGGACAACCGGCGCCTGTACGTGCTGCAGCGGGCCGCGGTGGCGTGCTACCCGCGGCGGGTGCTGGTCGGGGTCACGATCATCGCGGAGAAGGGCGAGATGCTGAAGCACGTCAAGAAGTTCCGGACGCGGACGAACGGCCTCTCCGTCACCGTCTCGGAGTGGAACGGCGTCGGCAGGAACAACGCCCGGGAGTACAGCGCCATGCGCGTCTGGGACTGGAGGTCGGCCGTGTCCCGGGTGGAGGGCGAGAACGATCCGGCGGCCAAGGGGGCGGCGGCGGAGGCTGCTCAGATAGGCAGCTGCGGCTGCTGGGAGTACCTCGACGGGAAGGATATCCGCAGAGGGCCGTTCAGCAACTGGCAGATGCGACAATGGTGGGAGCGGCGAATGCTTCCACTCTCTCTCCGGATACGGCCATACAGCGCGGTCGCATCGTCGCCTTCCGGAGGCACGGAGGCCGAAGAAGATGTCGCCGACTTCAAGCTGGCCACGCTGGTCTTCGAGGGCGCGCCGGCCCCCTTCGCTGCAGGATGGTCCCCTCGCGCCACGGACGGCGCGATGCAGGCGAGGAAGTGCTCGCGGTGCAATCGCAAGCGCTTCAACGGCACCGAGCTCGACGGCAGCTGGCTCTGCCAGCAGTGCTTCAAGCGGCGCGCGGCCAGCGCCGCCGAGCGCGACGCAGGGCCCACCTCGGAGGAGCGCCGGCCGAGGCAGCGGCGGCCCTCCCGCGATCGCCCATGGCCCGCCCTCTGCCGGCCCCTATAGGGGCCCCTCCCGGCCCCGGGGGGCCCGCCGTCCCGCCCCGCCTCCCCAGACCCCCTCGAGTCGTGAAAAAATCACGACGGGAGGTTTTTCGGTATTTTCGGCCTCTGAGGGCCCTTACCGGGCCTCGGGACCGTCAAAAAACGACTCGGGATGAAAAACCGGTCCCGGGGAATGGGTCTGGACCTCTGGGGGTCGCGTCATGAAAAAATCATGACGTCGGGGGTCTGGGTCTCGCGGCGGGCGCAGCGTCCCGGCGGCCGGAGGCCTCCGCGAGGCCCAGCCCAGGGGACCCAGACCCCCGACGTCATGAATTTTTCATGACGTCGACCCCCAGCGGTCTGGACCCTTTCTCCGGGACCGGTTCTTCGTCCTGAGTCGTTTTTTTGACGGTCCCGAGGGCCGGTAGGGGCCCGCAGAGGCCAAAAATCATGAAAACCTCCCGTCGTGATTTTTTCATAACTCGAGGGGGTCTGGGGACGGAGAGCACGCCCTTAAGAGAGGGCATGCCGGCAGCACACTGCCCGGGGCCCGGCGCCGCTGCCTCGCCCGGCCCTCCTCCGACCATCGGCGCCCCGAGCGGGGCGTCCTCGCCGAGCCGGGGCCCCGCCGCGCCCCGCGGGGCGCACGCCGGCGGCGCCTGCGGGGGCGCCGCCGCCGCGCGCGAGGAGGGCCCGCGGGCGGCGGCCGCGGCGGCACGGCCGAGGAGGCCGGGCGGGGCGCGGAGGGCTGCGGGGCCCCGACGGGCGCGGGGCGGACGGGCGGGGCGCCTGCGGGGGCGCCGCCGCCGCGCGCGAGGAGGCGCCGGCGGGCGGCGGCGGCGGCACGGCCGGCGCCGGGGCGGAGAGCGGCTGGGGGCGGGACGTGCGCTGGGCGGGCGAGCGCTGGGCGCGCGAGCGCTGGCGCGAGGAGCCCTGGCCTGCCGAGGGCCCAGCCTCGGAGGAGGGCTGGTCGAGACAGGGGCGGCCCTCCCTGGCAGCTGTTTTGGTGCGTGTGTGGTCACGGCGCTGCCCCTGACACCCGGAGACCGTAAACCCTTTAGACCTGTAACCATCAGAGTCCTTCAGACCTGAGGTCGCTAAACCCTTGCGCCCTTAAGCCATCAGGCCCTTCAGCCCCGAAGCCTGCACCGATGACCAGTCCAGTCTGACCTCGTGTACCGCAAGCTGTGCCACAAGGCTGAAGTCATGTACCACGTGGTGCACCACCGGACGCCAGTGCCTGAGGCCGGGCGTGCACCCTCGTGGCAAAGATGGTCTATAGGCCTGACGCCTCCTCCCGCTTTCCTCCCCCGCGGCCGTCCTCCCCTTCCCCTCCATCTGCCTGTGCGTGCCCGCGCGCCCCGCTGGCTATACAGGAACGCGCCGCGCGCGCGCCCTCGCCGCTGGCCAGGGACGTGTGTCCTGCTGGGCTTCCTCCGAAAGCTTCTCGTCGCCGCGGCTGGATCCGCCTCGAGAGACGAGCCCGGACGGATCCCGGGAGGGGTGCACTGCAGCGGCCTTGGGCCGCCGGCCCGGCGGGGGAGCCGCGGGTGTCTCAATCTTGGCCCTGCTCCGACCAGCGGCTGGAGGCTGGGGCGAGGGCTCCTGGGGCGAGCGGCGGCACACGCCGGACGCGCGGCGGTGGGAGGGCGGGGGCGGCTCGTGGCAGCGGGGCGCCTGGTCCCAGTCGTACTGAGTGGCAGCTCCGCGCCGCTGGGCGTCTCGTCCTCACACGCGGCATCCCCTCGCGACGAAAAGCCTGTTGAGCGTGGCAGCTAAGTATCGAAACAGCGGAGTTCTTGGATCTGCGCTGGAGCGCCCTGGCGGCGCCTCCGGCGCCGCCCTTGGCGCGCTCCGCGCGCCAGGGAGGGGTGTCCAGCTCAGATCCGAGAAATCCGCGCGGAGTGCCAACAGTTTATGTTTCTGCCGTGTTTGTTCTTCTGAATTAGAATACACACCGCTTCGCGGGGTAGGACACAACATGACAAGGGCAACACTGTCCGCTCGTGGGATTCTACTTCCCCCCCCCCCGATGAGCCCAGACCCCCTGCTCTAGTCTTCAATTTTTTTAGCCAGGTGGGGGGGACTACATGAGGGGGCGGGTACGCATCACTCGCCTGGTGACCCCGACCAGGTCGGCGGATTTCAATCAATCCCGCGTGCTGCAGGATATGCCAAATCCAGTGCGGTTGAAACTCATCAACATAACCTGTAGAGTACGATGCTGTCCGTGATGATTAACAGATGATGAGACGTTTGTTGGTTTTGTTTGTTTGTTTGTTTTATTGTTTCTTTGTTTAGTTGTTTTTGTTTGTTTGTGTTTTGTAATATCTCTCTCTCTCTCCCTCTCTTTCTGGTTATCTGATAATCCACCACGTCACCAAATCCAGCCCAGAACAGCACAACGTGATGAGTGATTGTCTACTACCTACTTGCACCACACTTTTCCGCTAAACAGGGAGGCGATGCTTCTGAGCATGATTGGCCTCCTCGGGGTCCTCTTGGAACTCAGTCGGCGCAACATCGGTGCACTCTTTGCGGCATCGTGTTTTTGTTTCGTCTCGGGGCACTCGAGGTCCTCTTTGCTTTCTGCTGTTTTCTAAATCACCTGATGCAATACGGATGTTTGCTCTCATGCCCCGTGTGGGACGCTTGAGAAGCTGTTTTCGTGCGCTTCTGTTCACTGGCGAAGCTGGAGTCGGAAGTGCTCGAGGCCTGAGCGGTCTTGGATGAACGTGAGTGCGTTGAGCGTTGCAAGCTCTATGATTTCAGGGGAGGAGCAGGGTACACCTTGGGGGGGAGTGAGGAGGAGGAGGGGGAGGAAGAGGGGAGGAGGAGGAGGAGGAGGAGGAGGAGGAGGAGGAGGAGGAGCAGGAGGAGGATGAGGTAGGGGGAGGAGGAGGACGAGGAGGAGGAGGAGGAGGAGGAGGAGGGGAGGCGGAGGAGGAGGGGAGGAGGAGGAGGTGGAGGAGGAGGAGGAGGAGGAGGAGGGAGGAGAGTCTGGGGAGCGAGGGTTTTGAAAGCTCCCCCCGGGCCTCAATATGCCTGGCCCGGCAGGCGCTGCGCCTGATCCTGGGAGCCCGCAGTGCCTATCCGATGGTGGAGGAGGAGGAGGAGGAGGAGGAGGAGGAGGAGGAGGAGGAAGAAGGGGAGGAGAGGAGGCCGAACTTCAAGGTGCTGCACACCTTCAAGTTCCGGCTGGGCCCATGGGAGAACGCCTTCGGTTACCTGGGGTTCGACAGCGACTCGCACCGGGTCGTAATCGCCTTCCGCGGCACGGCCAACCTCGTGCAGTTGTCGGACGAGATTCTGCACCACAGGCAGGCTCTTTCTTCTCCTACTCCTCCTCCTTCTCCTCCTCCTCCTCATCTTCATCCTTCTCCCTCCTCCGCCTCCCTGCTCCTCCTCCCTGCTTCTCCTCCTTCCTCTCCCTTCGGGACGGTTCATCCCGGTCATACCATAGCAAATAGCAGAAGAATGGATGGGGACGGGGAAGACCAAGGAGAGCAGATGGCACTCCAACATGCACGATTCATGCATCGGATTACCACACCCCGCACGCTGCGGGGGTACCAGCCCCTCCCACACGAGGCCCTGATACATATCGAAGACGCCTACAGCAAACCACCGCCGCCCCCTGCCGTTTGGAGTCGCCTAATTATGTGGCCAAACGTTGGGCCAAAGTCTGGCCAACATACTGGATTAAACGATCCCCAAGCCGTTGTGGAAACCAGTCGGGGAACACTTGGGGGCGGAAGGGGGGGAGGAGCAGAAGAGTGAGGAGGAGGAGGAGGAGGAGGAGGAGGAGGAGGAGGAGGAGGAGGAGGAGGAGGAGGAGGAGGAGGAGGGGAGAAGGAGGAGGAGGAGGAGGAGGAGGAGGAGGAGGAGGTGGAGGAGGAGAACGAGGAGGAGGAGGAGGAGGAGGAGGAGGAGCAGAGCAATGAGGAGGGGGACGATGAGGAGGCCTCTTGGGAGCTTTTCGGGAGCCTCCGTGTGGGCTCTTGTGGCCATCTGGGACGGTCTTGGAGCCATCTTGGGTCGCCTTCGGGCCGTCTTGGGCGCCATTCAGGGCCATCTTTGCCGCCTTACAGTCTTCGAGGCCTTAGTGGCGGCGTTGGAGACCATACTCAGCCATCGCAGGCGTCTTGGCGGCCACCTTGGACCGTCTAGTGGCAATCGAGGGGCCTTGTCGGGGGCCGCTGGTTCCGCCGTGGGGGAGAATTGGACGCTGTTTGAGCCGTGTGAGGCTGTCGGAGGCCCAGACTGGCGAGAACGCTGAGATTATTGACATACGCAGTCTGGGATCATGGCCTCCAGAGGGTATCCTGGAGGTCATCTTAGAGCAACTTCGAGCATCCCAGATGCCTCCTGGGCCGACTTGGGGCCGTCCTGTGCCGTCTTGGGGGACATCTTGGGGTGCTCTTGGGGCTGTCTTGACCGTCTTGGAGGCGTCCTGGGACAGTTTTGGAGGCCATCTTGGGCCATCTTGGCCGCCCTGCAGGCTATCTTGGACTTGTTTGAGGCCGTATTGAGGTCCCCATGAGCGCAGCTCGGTCCATCTTGAGACACTGTCGGAGGCCTTTGGCCGTCTGAGGAGGTCGGATGTCCAAAATGGCGAGGACCTTGACATCACTTGTAGTTTGCAATGGGCATCAATGATGGCTGGTCTCCTGGAGGTTGGAGCAATTTGGAGCGTCTGAGGCCTGAGGGGCCTCTTGTGCCGTCTTGAGGCCATCTTGGGCCGCGGTGGGTCCATATTGGGCCGTCTTGGGGGCATCCATCTCGGAGCCATCTTGAGATCTCGTGGGGCCATCTTGTGCGGCGTGGATGGGGTTGTTTTGATTGTTTTGGAGGCCATCTTGGCCATCTTGGGGGCGATCCTTGGCTTCATGTTTTCCCAACACTCCTGTGCTGGGTTTTCGTTTTGAGCAGAGCACCTGGGTCTCCACTCCTCAATCCTCCCCTCCTCCCCCTCCTCCTGCCCCCTCCTGCCGTGCTCCCTGGCTGGCTGCGGACTGCGCAACCGTCGCCACGTTCGCGGGCTCCTGGGAGGTCCATGCTTCCTATGTGGCTGCGAACTGCGCAACCGTCGCTTTATCTTTGGGCTCCTGGGAGGTCTAGCGGAGTTGGGGGACACGCAGGTCCAGCCGAGACCTCGCTGCTCCCTGGATGGCTGCGGCGGACTGCGCAGCAGTCGCCACTTTCGTGGGCTCCTGGGAGATCCAGCGGAGTCTTGTGTCACGCGCATCCAGCCGAGACCTCGCTGCTCCCTCGGTGGCTGCGAATTGCGCAGCCGTCGCCAGTTTCGTGGGCTCCTGGGAGGTCCAGCGGAGTTGGGGGACACGCAGGTCCAGCCGAGATCTCGCTGCTCCCTGGGTGGCTGCGAACTGCGCAACCGTCGCTTTATCTGTGGGCTCCTGGGAGGTCCAGCGGAGTCGGAGGACACGCAGACCTTGAGACCTCGCTGCTCCCTAGATTGGCTGCGGCGGACTGCGCAGCCGTCATCACTTTCGTGGGCTCCTGGAGGTCCAGCGCAGTCTTGTGCCACGCGCATCCAGCCGAGACCTCGCTGCTCCTCGGTGGCTGCGAACTGCGCAGCCGTCGCCAGTTTCGTGGGCTCCTGGGAGGTCCAGCGGAGTTGGGGGACATGCAGATCCAGCCGAGACCTCGCTGTTGCCTGGGTGGCTGCGGACTGCGCAACCGTCGCCAGATTCTTGGGCTCCTGGGAGGTCCAGCGGAATTGGGACACGCAGATCCAGCCGAGATCTCGCTGCTCCTCGATGGCTGCGAATTGCGCAACCGTCGCTTTATCTGTGGGCTCCTGGGAGGTCCAGCGGAGTCTTGTGGGACACGCAGGTCCAGCCGAGACCTCGCTGCTTCCTAGGTAGCTGCGAACTGCGCAGCCGTCGCTTCTTCTGTGGGCTCCTGGGAGGTCCAGCGGAGTTTGGGGACACGCAGATCTTGAGACCTCGCTGCTCCCTAGATTGCTGCGAACTGTGTAATCCTCGCTTCTTCCGTAGGCTCCTGGAAGGTCCAGCAGAGTGGAGTTGCACGCGCACCCAGCCAAGGCCTCGCGCATCCAGGGGTGGCTGCGAACTGCGCAGCCGTCGCCACTTTGGTGAGCTCGCCACTCTCGTGGGCTTCCTATGAGGCGCGGCGGAGGTGAGGGCAGCGGGGATCACTTCGAGACCTCGCGGCTCCCTTGCGGCTGTGAACTGGCGCAACTCTTGCCACTTTCGTGGGCTCCTGGGAGGTATCGCGGAGCGCAGGGCAACGCGTGTTCATGCGAGATCTCAACCGTCCCGTAATTCACGGGGAGGTCGGGCAACGAGGCATTCAAGTGTGTCCATGATACTGCAAGCCTTGACCTTCCCCTCTTCTGGTGCGTTGTCTCTGGCACCCGCCCTGGGTTTGACGCTAGGCGCACACGCGTTGGCATGCAATCGGACGGTTCGAGTGGTGCCTGGCTGGCAAAAAGGAGAGTTTCCAATGGTCCAGACGGGACCACTCCAAATCAGCGAGCCGAGCGTACGCGACAGCGAAGGGTGATTGGGAAAAACTTGTGGTGTGAGCCCCTGGTTGACCTGAAGGCTGCAGCCGCTCTCCCAACGCTCCAGAAAAGCGGCCGCCGCAGCAGATCGACATTCAGCCGCAAGCCCGTGACGCCGCCTGCCCAAGTTGCCTGCGCGTCTGCCACGCGCACCTCCCGCAAGAGCCGCTGCAAGCGGTCGGTGCCATGGTCAGAGGACATGATGGCAGGGCCAACAAAAACAACATAAAACAGGATGCGCGCGAGCTTGAGCCCTGTGTCCACGGTCCTCCCACGACCAGGTGCGACTGGCGAGGGCGCGAGAAAGCCACGGCGATCGCCGGCGGATACCGAGCTCGCCAGCAGGCCACCGGGTAAGCAGCAGGCAGCGCGGAAGGCTGGGCCAGCGAACCCGTAATCGCCGCTGGCCAGACAGCCGTGATTGGGCGCCTGCCCGGCAAGCCAAAACAATTGGACTACGCGAGTCCGCACTCCTCGGCGCCTGATGGTGGGACAGCAGGCGCCACCAGCAGAACCGTACCGGCAGAACAGCAGGCGCTGCTCGCTACCGAGGCAGTGCCTGGGCGCGCGCTCAACACGCCAAACACTTGGGCGACTAAAGTCCGGGAAGAGTGGACACCCGCTGGACGTACCCAACCACCAGCTGGGACGGACTAGCAAAACAATAAGCGCTGATCGACAGGTTGCCCGCGATGGGGAGATTACCCATCGTGCAAGGCAGAGTTTGCCGTCGAACGTCCACCAGCGTCGGCGCCCACTGGTGGGGCAGTAGGCATCACCAGCAGGGCCAAACCAGCCGAACAATGTGCGTAGCATGCCATATTATCCGCTCTCGGACGCGAGCAATCGCGAGCGTGATCTTGGATGTGGAGAAGTCCGTTAGACACGATGCTCACTGGTGGGGCAGTGAGCACAATCAGCATGGCCTGACCAGCCGCACAATAGGCGCAGTTGTCCGAATGGGCCGCGCTGGCGCTCATGCACCACACGCAATATCGAACTGGACCAGGAACGTCCAGAGGGCCAGGCCTGCGCTGGAAGGACAGCAAACACCACCAGCAGACTCTCTGGCCTGCGGAACAACTAGGCGCCGCTGGCCAGTCGGACCAAAGCCATGCGGGTAGAACAGCAGGCGCCGCCAGCCGACCACTTGTGCCCAAGTGCCTGGCTAGCGGGGGTGGAACAAGAAGCGCCGCCCCGCGAGCCATAGTGGCCGTGCGCTGAAGTCGGTGACCTGCGAACAAAAGTGCCCACAAGTCCGACTTGAGCAGTAGCTGTTTGAGCTGAAGAAAGCGTAATGAACAAATTGGTCACGGAGGGGGGAAGGGAGAGGTTGGAGGGCTCCTTACTGTTTTAAGACGGGGTCGAGAGCTCGCCATGAGAAGACGCCAGCAAATTGGTTCTGGGTCGAGTGCTCGCCATGAGAAGACGCCAGCAGACTGGTTCTCCAGCAGCTCTTCTCTTGCAGCCTCCCATCCTTCGAGCGAGCCAGGCGCACGGTCTCGGTAGTCTGCTTTCTCCTCTCGGCCGAAGTCGGCCGTCGACATACATGAGAGTATGTATAGCTCCTCCAATCGTCCCCTCCTCGATGGGGGGTGGGGTTGGCGGAGAAGATCGTGTTCTGGAGGGGAAGGTCGGCGTCTGTACAGACGCGGCCTGCGCCCTGTGCGGCGCTTTGCCGCGAATCGGCAGGCAAGTGCGAAGCACTGCGCCCGGTGCGGCGCCCACGAAGCCAGGCAAGGCCGCCTGCGGACCAATGGCAGCACAGCGGGCACTGGCAATGCTGCTCGTGTCCCTGATGTGTGAAGCAGCTGCGTCCCTAGATCGCCCTTTGTCCGCAAGGCTTCGCCTCCCTCCTGATCGGATCAATCCCGCGTCTCCTTCGGAGGGCTGCAGACTGCGCAACAGTCGCCACTTTCGTGTGCTCCTGGGAGGCACGGCGGTCGCGTCCTTTACCGCGCGGCACTGTTGCCTCACAGAGCGAACGTCCCGTAGCGCACGGCACTGTCCTCGGCGGCCCATTCCTGCGCAGGTGTGCGCCGCGCGAGGCCCGACATGGTTACGTAGGCGAAGAGTTCGAGGGTGTTGCATACCTCGCAATGTGCTCTCTTGTGCGGAGTCTTCATATTCATAATCGCCTTGCGGGGAGAAGGGGCAGGGTACGTCTCGGGCATTTCTCCTCCGGGTGGCTGGCGTTTTGAGTCGAAGGTGCATGGGGCGCTTCTTGGAAGGGCCCACAGGATCAGCAGCGCCTCGGCACGCCAAGCACCGCTCTGGCAAGCAAGAGGTGGCGGCGGATCGAAGACGCCTTCGGCGAATCACCGCCGCCCTCTATTCTTTCTGGATCGCCTGTGTGGCCGAACGCTGTGGCCAGAGGCCTGCCAAGCTATCGGACCATGCGTTCCCCGAATCGGTTTGGAACGCGTTCGGGGAGTACGGAGGGGGAGAATGAACGTGAAGAGGAAAAGGAAGAGGCTTCTTGGGCCGTCCTGAGCCGCCGGAATGGCGTGAAGAAGCAAATGCCAACAGCCTTGAAACACTTAATTAGGGAAAAGGAATGCTTTTGGTCTCTTCGGGCCCTCCTGGAGGACCTCTTGGAGGCCTCTTCGGCCGTCTTGGAGACCTCTTGGGGGTATCTTGGGCCGTCTTGGGCAAACTTGACACCATGTTCGGCCGTCTTGGAGGCATCTTGGGCCGTCTTGGAGGTATCTTGGGGGGCGATGCTATCGGACCATGTGTTCCCCGAGCCGAATTGGAAAGCCTTCGGGGAATACGTGGGGTAGGAAGAGGAAGTGGAGGAGAAGGAGGAAAAAGGAGAATGGGGGAGGATGTCTCTTCGGAGCCTCTTGAGGAACTCTTGGGCTCGATTGATCGTCTTGCAGGCCATGTTGGGGCTACCTTGGGCTCTCTTGGGGCCCCTTGTGGGCCTCTTGGGGTCCTTTTGGGGCTTCTCGGGGGCCTCTTTGGTCGTCTTATGGCGTTCCTGGCCTGTCTGACGCCGTCGGGAGCCATCTCGGGGGCCTCTCTGAATCGACTTGGGGTCCTCTTGGGCCGCTTCGGGGCCGTCTTGGAGGCCATCTTGGGCGTATTGGAGGTCTCTTGGGCCGTCTTGGGGCCCTCTTGGGGCCGTCTTGGAGGACTCTTGGGCCGTCATGGGGCCCTCTTGGAGGCCTCGTGGGCGATCTTGGGGCGATCTTGGCGGCCTCTTGGGCCGTCTTGGGTCGTCGGGAAGCCGAAAAGAAGCGAATGCCAACATCCTTCAACAACCTGCGGAACATAAATGTTTTTGTATTCTTCGGGCCCTCCTGGAGGACCTCTTGGAGGCTTTCTTGGGCCGTCTTGGAGGCCTCTGGGGAGCCTCTTGGGCCGTCTTGGGCTGCCTTGGACTCTCTTGGGCCGTCTTGGGGGCCGTCTTGGACCATCTTGGGCGGACTTGGATGCCATCGGAGGCCATCTTCGAGGCCACCGAGGGCGTTTTGGAGGCCCCTTGGGCCGTCTTGGGGCCCTCTTTGGGCCGTCCTGGGGCCCTCTTGGGCTGTCATGTGGCCATCTTGGAAGCCTCTTGGGCGATCTTCGGGCGCTCTTGGGGGCCTCTTGGGCCGTCTTGGGCCGTCCGAAAGCCGAAAAGGCGCAAATGCCAAAATCATTCAACATCCCATAGAACATCACTGGTTTTTACTTCTGCGGGCCTTCCTGGAGGACCTCTTGGAGGCCTCTTGGGCCATCTTGGAGGCGTCTCGGGGGCCTTCTGGGCCCATCGAAGTCCGTCTTGGGTGCATCTTGGGCCGTCTTGGAGGCATCTTGGGGCTATCTTAGCCATCTTGGAGGCCATCTTGGCCGTCTTGGAGCCATCTTGGAGGCCATCTTGACCGTCTTGGAGGCCATCTTGGGTATCTTTAGGCCTCTTGGGGCCGTCTTGGGGGCCTCTTGAGGCCGTCCTGGGGGCCTCTTGGGCCGTCACGGGGCCATCTTGGAGGCCTCTTGGGCGATCTTGGGCGATCTTGGGGGTCTCTTGGGCCGTCTGGGCCGTCGGAAAGCCGAAACGGCGCAAATGCCAACATCCTTCAAAAACCTAGGGCAAATCAATGCTTTTGCCTCTTCGGGCCTTCCTGGAGGACCTCTTGGAGATCTCTTGGGCCGTCTTGGAGGCCACTCGGGGGCCTCTTGGGCCGTCTTGGACCATCTTCAGGCTATCTTAGGCCGTCTAGGGTACATCTTGGGCAGTCTTGGAGGCATCTTGGGGCCATCTGAGCCGTCTTGGAGGCCATCTTGGCCGTCTCGGAGGCATCTTGGCCGTCTTGGAGGCCATCTTGGGGCCGTCTGGAGCAGGACAACCGTTTGCAACCACCTCGTCCGGGTGGCCGGCGGGATGTGACGAAGCCCCCGGGGGAGTTTTTTGGAAAAAGAACCAACACCAAAGGCCATATCGTTCGGCACGCCAGGCACCCCTTTGTTAAATCAAAAGGGGGCGGCGGATCGAAGACGCCTACGGCGAATCACCGCCGCCCCCTGCCCTTATGGAAGCGCCTATGTCCGACAGCTGGGCTGGAGCTTGGCCAAGCTATCGGACCATGTGTTCCCCGAATCGGTTTGGAAAGCCTTCGGGGAACACGTGGGCATCTTGAAGGTCATCTTGGCCGCCTGGAGGCCATTTTGACCCTTTAGGGCCTTCTGGGAGGACGTCTTGGAGGGATCCTGGGCCATCCTTGCGTCTTGAAGGCCTCTTGGGCCGTCTTGGGGGCCTCTTGGGGCCGTCTTGGGCCTCTTGGGCGATCTTTCGGGGCACTTGGGCCGTCTCGGGCCGTCGGAAGGCCGAACAAAAAGTAAATGCCACAATTGAACAACTCATTGGAAATCAATGATTTTGGCATTTTCGGGCCTTCCTGGAGGCCCTCTTGGAGGCCTCTGGGGCCGTCTTGGGCCAGCTTCGAGCCAATTTCGGCCGTCTTGGTGGGCCCCTGGCCCGTCCGACGCCGTCGGAAGCCGTTTGGGGGGCCTTTCTGGGCCGACTTGGGGCCCTCTTGGAATGCTCCAGGGCCGTCTTGGAGGCCATCTTAGGCGTCTTTAAGGCTCCTTGGGGCCCTCTTGGGGGTCTCTTGAGGCCGTCCTGTGGGCCTCTTGGGCCGTTCTGGGGCCATCTTGGAGGCCTCTTGGGCGATCTGTGGGCGATCTTTGTGGACTCTTGGGCCGTATCGGGCCGTCGGAAGGCCGAAACGAAGCAAATGTCAGAATCCTTCGAAAACATGGGGAACGTTAAGGATTTGGCCTTTTCTGGCCTTCCTGGAGGCCCTCTTGGAGGCCTCTGGGGCCGTCTTGGGCCAGCTTCGAGCCAACTTCGGCCATCTTGGTGGGCCCCTGGCCCGTCCGACGCCGTCGGAAGCCGTTTGGGGAGCCTTTCTGGGCCGACTTGGGGCCCTCTTGGGGTGCTCCAGGGCCGCCTTAGAGGTCATCTTGGGCGTCTTGTAGGCTTCTTGGGTCGTCTTTGTGCCCTCTTAGGGCCGTCTTGGGGGCCTCTTGGGCAGTCCTGAGGCCATCTTTGAGGCCTCTTGGGCGCTGTGGCGGCCCAAGAGACCAGTATAGGGTCTAGGGTTGGAGCGGCCTTTGGTAGTCTTGGGATCGTCTAGAGGCCAGGAAATTGAGCTGCGGAGCAGAAGGGAGGACGGGGGGTATTGTTTGAGGCCGGTCTCTGGTGGGGATGCCGCCCCTGGAAAGCTACACATCCCCAACCAGGCAACCAGTAATCCTTCTCACACGTCCCAGCGCACGGGGAGGCGGGGAGGGGATTCTCATCAGGTGCCCCGGTCTGCGCCACAGGTCCCCGTGCCGCGCTCGAGTGGTCAGCGTCATATGGTGGAGCGCTGGCCACGCGAGCGGGGGACACGAACTTTGCCAGCCCTGATCCAGCAGCTCCTGAGGCGCAGTGGGGCTCTTCTGCCACCCGCCGGTCGCCTGCACGAGGGGCACCGGCCCGAGTGCGCGAGGCCCGCGCAGTGCAGCATGCTGTCTGATGGTGCGTGGCGGACGGCGGCTCCCCGATGCGCGTCCCCGTCTGCGCTCCTCTCTTCCGCCCCCCTTCAGCTGGCGTCGCTCCTCCCCCACCTCCCACCACTCCATACGCCAAGAGGCTGGTCAACGAGACGTGGTCGGGGGAGCCGGGCGTGCTAGTCAACGAGTACTTCCTGGCGGCCGTCAACGATCTGGTCAACGTCACAAAGCTGGGGACGGTGCAGCCTCTTCTCACTCTCCTCGTCCTCCTCTTCGAGGGGGGAGGGGGGAGCGGGGCAAGCGGGGGGCAGGAGAGAGGAGGAAGAGAGGCGTGAGTCATGAGTCATGAGTCATAGGGAGGAGGAGGAGGAGGAGGAGGACGAGGAGGAGGAGGAGGAGGAGGAGGAGGACGAGGACGAGGACGAGGACGAGGGGCAGGGAGTAAAGGAGGATGGAGCAGGTGGGGGGATCGGAGGCAGCGCTCCTCCTGATCCTCTGCACACCCTACCCCGTCCCCCTAGCTCCACCAGCTGCTGCTCCATGCTGTTCCCGCTCCCGCTTCCGATACTTCTTCTCCTCGATGGTCGCACTGCCGCACTGCCTCCTACCAGATAGAGGAGGAAAGGGGAGGAGGGAGGATGATGGAAGGATGAGGGGGGAGGTAGGATAGAGGAGGAGGGGTGCAGGGGGAGGGCGGAGGATGACAGAGAAGGAGGAGGGAGGAGGGAGGAGGAAGGAGGAGGAGGGGAGGAGGAGGGGCAGGAGGAGGAAGCTGAAGAGGAAGAGGACGTTTCATTGGAGGAGGGTAATGATAATGATAATGCCAGTTCGCTGGGTGAGGAAAATGGGTTTTGCAGGGGGCGATGGTTTCCGCGGGTTTGTTTGCCTGTTAGCCTTCTCGGCTTTGCTAAGGACCTTAGCTGTGAGGTGCGATGTGGGCTTACGTGAGAAGGACCGCAAGCTCCACATAACCAGATGCCTAGCTTCGTGCTGAGGTTCGTGCAGCGAGACCCATGTATGCACCCAGCCCCCCGCTAAGTGAAGCTTACCTCCGTGGGGAGTGTGTGAATTCCCATTGAGGATGAGGGGCGAAAAGCAACAATAACCATTCCATAAGGTGGCTCTGGCCTTCGTGGCCGTTCCAAATCAAACCTTACATTTCAGGCCAGTGTTATCTAACTGATGCTGGAAGGTGACCGTGGCTACCACCGAACGTGCAGGAGGTGCGGCAGGAGAAGGGAGAGGAGGCCCCGCCTTTCCTTGATCCCCTGCATGGATGCCTCGACGGTGGTGACTTCCAGGGCTGCTCGCAGCAACTGGGGCCGAAGGAGAAACGCTCGACGTTCCACTTCTAGCACTTCATGTCGAACACGACGGGGTAGTCTGACGTCGAGAGCTGCAGCTGCGACCAACTCATCGAGAACTTCGTTTCCCACCGCTATCCACCACTCTGCTTTACCGTCGTGGAGGTCCTCTCCAGACAGGTGGGAATGCACGGGCATGCCTTGAATGAGATGTAGCGGCCTGTGTTCCAACAAGAATCCGGTATTGGCCCACAAGTCCGCGTCCTCGCCCCTCGCGACATACGTGATCGCACCTTGACTCGCCCAGATGGCGAGCCGTATTGCTGTCAGTTCGCCTCTGCCAACGGCTCTGTCGTGCCGCCGCTTGCATCACCGAACATACTTGTCGGGGCCGTTTCAGACCCCATGGGCAAGCACCTGGAAGTATATACTCCATCATCAAGACCACCACCACGTCATGCATCATCTGCTTGTGGTGCTGGTGTAGCCGTCCTTGCTGCAGGGATGAGGCCGCGATGCCAACAGCAGTCAGGCCGTTCATGTTGGATTCGAGCTGTTCCCGCGAGACATTCACTCTTGGTGTAAGCATCCGGCCCAGTATTTTTGAGCAAGTCCAACTCCGATGATATGATGTCTCCAACTCTTCGCCATATCGATCTCACAACCCCTGATCGGCATGCGTGATGGTACCTGATCGACCCGAGGCGTAGTAGGTCGTGAATCCAAGCGACGATCGAAGCCCGCGAGGCAGTCCCGTACCAACTGCATAGTCGGTTGTGAGCCCTGGCGACGATCGAGGCCCGGAAGGCTTTCCCTTACCAAACGCATGGTCCGCCGTGAGTCCTGCTGGCGTCGACTGATGAGCTCCTGGTGGTTTACGTCCTTGATCTTCTTGGTGCCTACGAGCCTCCGATGATGTATTCGCTGGTGGGAGTGCAAGCTGAGCTAACTCCCTGGCTTTGGATCATGCGCCACCTAGCGCGACATTGAGAAATGAGCCTGCAAGTCGGGGCCCTCCTGGTCGTACGGCTCGCAGTTGTCTGAGGCGTCTCTTGAGAGAGATCGTGTCTATGTCGGCTCCGATGCCCTCTCCATCGTACTGATATAATGTTTGCTTCCAGAAATGGTCCATCGTTGTCTGTCGAACTTCATCCAAGAATTCTTTGGACCTGTCGTTCGCTGAATTCCCTGTGAGATGTTCATCCAGAACTTCCCACTTGAAATCACCTGGTGGCTCCCATAAGGTCGGCCCTGCTGCTATCCACCCGAATCTATACCGATACGTTATGATGGCTGAGGTTCCCTGATATGCCTGCTCCGAGGTGCTTCAGGTACCTGCTCGAGCTCGAATCTTAGGTCATGCTCTGATCACCCCCGCCCAGAGATGAGGTTGATCACGCCATTGTTGCAGCCATAGCTCGACAGTTCCCGCCGCCATTTTGTCAACTGCGTCCGAAGTGGGAGCATCAGTAGCCAATGATGTCGTCAAACACATGCCTCGCCGGCGAGCGCTGCAAACAGCCCCCAAACGTCTGCGATACGCGGTAAGGTGAGCCCCAAACACTCCATGCAGTCGATAACCGCAGCTGCCTGCAGCTTGAGCTCCCTGACGGTCCAGTCTCGACGTGAGCTGTGTTCGTCGAATCAGTCGCTTGTACCGCAATACATTATTGTGGCGAGAGAGGTGTTTGACGTTCCACTTGGCTCGCTGCTCTCTAGCATGTCGTCGCCCAGCTCCCAGAGCCGCCCCACGATACGGCGTGTGTCTCGATGCTGTGAGGTGCACTCCTCGTTGACGAAGTGCCCGAGACACGGCTTTAGCGGCCCCATGAGGGGTGCACATGACCACCGATTTCGCCGCCGCCAACATGAGGTTCTGAGGTCGTAGCCCAGCAGCCGTCGCAGACATACATGTCATGAGATTATCTTCGTGACCTGCTCACGCGAGCCCTTGGTGGATTGCGTCAGGTCGCTTTTACGCAACCGATGGCTGCACCTCACAATCGCAGTATCTATATGTTAAACCTGGCATGAGTATGGCAAATCTTGTTCCTTACCTCAAGCCTTACCAATGCTATGGGTCGGCTCGAAGGGTCAGGAAAACACGTCGAGATGGTTGAGTGTTCTTAGTGCTGCTCCTTGAAGAAGCAGCTCAAGATGACATTTAGTAGGAGGCAATTCCAATCTGATGGTTGTCCTCGTAAGTTTGAGCCAACACATTGTGTCGTACGCAGTGCGATGCAGTGCCAATCAAACCGTGTCCATATGATATGTCAAGGGCCGAATACAGCACCCGTCGGAACGCCTCCTGAAGCGACGAGTTGCCTCGCACAGCAGCGTCCCAGTGCGGTCCTGATGCAGCAGCCCAGCTCTCCACCCGTGGCTCTCTTGCCATGCTCCACGCTCTGCCGATCCTCGAGACGAGACCCACGACACGGCCCCCGACACCCTTGTTGGGACGACGTGTGCTCACGTTCACCATCGCCAGCACGGCCAAGGCGCTGAAAGAGGGAGCAGCTTGGGTTCGGACGGGGCTCGATGTTCCTCACGGCCTTCCGCGGTTGTTCCTCTAGCCCCTCTCGTGCCCCCAGGCTTTTTGGAAGCCGCAGAGGGGCTTCGTTCCTCATTCGGCGTTCCTTTTTGTTCAGCAGCCCAGCTGCATGCAACAGATCACCAACTCTCACAGTGGCAGGGTCGGGCCACCCCTCGAGGCCACGTGGCGCCAGCCTGTCCACACCGAGGCCCGCCGCCCCGGGCCTCGTGGCCCTCCAGGCCTCCTTCCGGCCGTCGAGGGCGAGGTCTGGAAGAGGCTCCGAGCCCTGTGGCATCACGGGCGAGCCCCACAACACCGGCCAAGAGAGCTTCGGGATCGTGGATCGCGTATAGAGGTGGGGCCCACAAGGTTCGCCACGTGCGAGCCTTGAAGTCAGCTGTGCCATCAGGATATGGCAGACGACGCCCCGGCCGTCACTGACCTCCAAAGTTGGGACGGGGTCCTGACGCACAGCACGACGGAGGCACCCGGTAGCTTTTCAGGAGCAGGACGAGGAAGAGGGGCGGGGAGAGGGAAAGAGAGAGAGAGAGGGGGGAGGGGGAGGGAGAGAGCGAGGGAGGCGGAGGGGGGCAGGGGGCAGGGAGGGATGGGGGGAGCAAAGACGGATCCCACAACGGTGCTTGGCGACCTCCTGGAGCAGCACCCCGGCTGCGAGATCCACGCAGGGCGGGCACGCCTCCCCGCCGGTTCCCCCCCCCGTCAGCCTGCGGCCGCCCCTCGTCGGACGGCCTTCTTGGCGCCCGCAGCCCGCCTCGCCGCTGGCCCTGCTCGTCGCTCGCCCCGGCTCTCCTCGTCGCTCGGGGCGGGCGGGGAGGGGGATCGGGAGGCAGGGAGGAAGAGGGGGGGCGGGGGGGGGGGGGACCGCGGGAGGGAGGAGGGGAGACGGGGGGGTTGGGCAGGAGGAGGAGGAGGGAGGGAGGGCCGTAGCCATTTTGGCTCGGGCCAGTCTGGCTCAAGTTCGGGAATGTTCAAGGTAGTCGGGATCGTCCCCTTCTCGCCGTCGTCGTCGTCGTCGTCGTCGTCGTCGCCGCCGCCGCCGTCGTCGTCGTCGTCGTCGTCGTCGTCGTCGTCGTCGTCGTCGTCGTCGTCGTCGTCAGTTGCGCCGCCCCACCCTGGCCGTGGGATGACTCGTGCTTTCAGGCTGTGCCAGCGTGCCGCGCTATTGTGCCCCGCCTCTCGAATAAGAGAAATGAGAAAACACTTTGGGAGCTCAGCGCGGATTTCTTGGATCTGCGCTGGAACCCCTTGACGGCGCCTCTGGCGCCGTTCCTGGCGCGCTCTGCGCGCCAGGTAGGGAGGTCCAACGCGGATCCGAGATATCCCCGCAGACCTCCGAGTTTTTATGTTTATGTCACTTTGCGTTCCAGCGCGGGTCGATGGTGATGATGATGCTGCTGCTGATGATGATGATGATGATGGTGGTGGTTGTGGTGCTGATGATGATGATCATCATCATCGCCATCACAACCATCGTATCATCATATTATCATCATTATCAGCATCTGCAGCATCGTCACCATCATCCTCATACTCATCATCATCATCATCATCATCATCATCATCATCAGCATCATCAGCATCATCATCATCATCACACGAAGGCCGAGATCGTTGTCGCTGCATCCCGCCGAGGCATTACACACGAGCTCGCCAAGGATCGCCGTCTAGTCGGCAAGTTGATGCCTGAGCTGAAGCACCTCGGCGGTACGGTCTCTGCTTCGGGGAGTGACGTTGCTGAACGACGCGAACGACTCCTCGCCATCAGTAGAGCTTGCAATCAGTTGAGTGGATCCTGGCATTCCGACGCAGGATGGAAACCTGAACGCTCGCTATTTGGAGGCTGCGTGCACAGCGCGGCCACCTCTGGCGTTCGACTGCAGCCTGGTCGGGAAGCTTCGCTCCATGCGCCAGGGCCGCGCGCGCTCCGAGGCCAACGGCATTCTCATCGGTCCTGGCCTTCCCTCAACGTCTGGCGGTATTGGAAGCTTGCACCTGTGGCGCGGGAACTCACTGTACGACGGCTCTGCCGGTGGCGCGAAAGAAACAACTAAGGAGGAGGATGAGGAGGAGGAAAAGGAGGAAGAGGAGGAGGAGGAGGAGGAGGAGGAGGAGGAGGAGGAGGAGGAGGGAGGAATCGACGTCTCCGAGCAATCTCCTTCCTCCCTGTGGTACGAGGGGGCCCCTCCGTAAAAGGGAGCACATCCACTTCTTGGTTGTTTTTTGCGGCAGTCCAGCGCTTGAAGGCGCAGCTGATATGAAGGTGCCGATCCTTGACGAGTGCGGCGTGATCAGCGTGAGCGCACCCATTCACCCTTGGGCGAAGCAGTTAAATGCGGGCATCGAGATTTTTCTCACGATCGACTTGGCGACCGAGCTGCGAGACATGTGGCATCCAAGGAGCATTAAACAGGCTTCTGGAAGACGAGCAGCTCCATGACATGTACACCGCGATAGATCCGCGCACCTTGCGAGCTGTTTTTTCTTTCAGAAACGACGCCCACACGGTACGACGCTCGAGGATCAGATGCCATTGAAGGGAGATATCACGGGGATCGATGGCGACAAGCTCCACACGTGCGAGATAGAGTTGAAGGACGGATCGAAATGCGGTCGGACTTTCACTACTCTGGTTGCGCTACGTGCCCATCAGACTCACAGCAAGGAACCCAGCCATCATATGCTCAGTTTACTCAGTCTCTTGGTCGTGGACAACAAACGCTTGATATGCCATACGGTATTTCGCAGTCGCGGTCACTGTGCACGTCACTTTCTTCGCGGGTGGTCCGTCGGTGTGTGCGCCAGAACACGGCGCAGCTGTGGCAGTACAAGCGTCCCGACTGCCTTGGGTGCCCGATCTGCAAAAAAAGTACCCCGCCTTCCCCCCCTCCCTTTTGTGGTCCTCGGGGGAGTGGCACAAGCAACGCCGACAAGAGCGAGCCAGACTGCAGCAAGCCGAGCCACCCATCGCTCATCATCAGCAGCCGCAAGTACCTCACCTCCATCAGTATCAGCGTCATCTCGAACGGCAGGAGTGGTACAAGCAGCACTTACAAGAGCGAGCCAGACTGCAACAAGCCGTGCAGCCACCACGCGCTCATCATCATCAGCAGCAAGTACATCACCACCATTATTATCAGCGCCGCCATCAGCCACACCTAATGCAGCTAAACCAGCACCGCAGCAAGCAGCTCTAGGTCAACCCGAGCTAGCAGCAATACCGGCATCTGCACCGGCACGTGCACGAATCCGAAGCAAAACTACACCGAGCCGAGCCCAACCTTCAGCGACGCCATCATCACCGCCGTTATCTCCGTTAGCATGTGGCTCCACCGAGGCTCTCCGCACCCATCTTCGCGCTCATATACCTGAACGGTTTTCGGCGCGACCGTGGATTGTGCGAGATCTTCGTCAAGTTGCTGCCAGGCCGGAGCTGGGAGCGCGCCTGGCAACTTCTGCTCCGAGGGTGTCATCAGCTCGTGCCCCTCCTCGGCCTCGCGCAGCAGTGTTATCACCGGCTTCGTGTTCTGATGCGGCCAGCGCGGGGCCCGTTGGCATCCTCGTCAGCGACTGGGAATGGTGGGGCCGTCGCGGTCGGAGACGACTGAGGAGCCCCCTCTGGCGGGGCAACGGCGGCACCGCGGGCGGCGCGACGCAGCGGCACGAGGCGCATCAATGGAGAACAGAAGATACCGAAAGTGATCCAGGTCAAAGACAATGGACAGATAATTCCTGCTACTGATACTCAAACAGACGCTGAGCAGCACGCAGAAGGTTCGAATGATGGAGGGCATCATGCTGGACTCGTTCATCTTGCCGAAGAATCACAGGCTCGTTCAATCACTCCAGGAGGAGCAGGAGCATTTCGTCCAGCGGGTGGAGGAGTACAGCGAGGAGAAGGAGAAGAACCCCATGGCCGAGCCCCTCGGCCCACCTCGCGCGCTGCTCTTCGTGGCGCTGGTCGAGGTGGCGGCCGCCATCGAGGCTAGCGGCGGCGACGATCTGAAAGGGGGTCCAGAGCCTGGCCCAGGCCATCAACAGTAGCGAGAAGGCCGAGGACGTGGAACAACTGGTGCGTGCACGCCGCCTGCAGAAGACGGCGCATGAGGGCCAGATGAAGATCGCGCTAGCAGCGCAGACGCTTGGAGACAGGCGATTCGGTATACTCGACGGGCTTCGCCAGTGCGGAGGCCGTCGTCTGCGGGGTCAGCCCCCGCTGGGTACATGGGGGAGGAGCTGCAGGAGTGGGCCGAGTAGATGCAAGCGAATCTCGCCGAACTACTCGTGAAGATGCACCGATGGAATGATGAATGAAGTGCTGACGTCCACACCGACAGTGTGCACTGCGTATCTGGGCATTTGCATTCGGCTATCACACCTTTGGTGCATAGTGCTTGGCGGCGCGGACTCTGAGTCGGCGGTCGTTGGTATTCTGTCGTCCAACGCGGACCTCAGCGCAAGAATCAGCTAGCTCGACTTTCGTCGCTCCGCCGTGTTCTGTGTGAGGCTTGCGCCCGAAACAGCCGCTGTTTTTTCCTCCTGCCCCGCGCGTGCTTCCCCGCCGCTCGGCCTCGCCCCCCCGCCCGCCCTCGGCTGTTCAGGGTCTTTGTGGCATCGGGGTCTGCGGCGGCGCGCCCCGCAGATCGCACCTGTGCTGGGCGACCGTCGCCGCTGCGCTGAGTGGGCAGTGCTCCGCGGCGCACATCCGCTATCGCAGCGGGCAGAGGGCCCCCGCGCTGACCCCGAGTTGCCCATCCCCCTGAGCCCCGATTCTGTTTGAAGAAATTAGCATCCGCATCATTATCAGCATCGTCATCATCATTCGGAGGGCGGCTCTTGAAACTCGCTGGGCGGTGGGGGGGCGAGCTCGCTGGCGGGCGGTTCATCGGCATCATGGCTTGGCGAGACCCCGAGTGATGGGCGGCCTGTGCTGCTTCAGTGTGACGATCGGCGCTTCTGGATTTTCCAATCCAGGGCCGATCGGCAGCAGGCGGCGCTGCCACCCGCGCGCTGGAGTTGGGCATGCGAAACTACTGTGCTGAAGTGTTTTTTTTGAAGGCAGTGGCACATTGCGAAACTTCCTGCGTTAACGGGGCCCCACCCGACTGGGGCCTACCTCGGGCCGCGTTCCCATCTGCGACGGCGCAGCCATGGGGGGTCGAACCCTCGACAGTTCCTAAAGCCGAAGCGCGCGCTGGCCCGTCGCTGTTCTTTAGTTGTTGATGTCATCCCGCGTGAATTCTTGCTCGAGCTCGCGATCGGGCCCCGCCTCGACGCCGGCGCGCGCGGCGACAGAGGCATCGGCGGACGCAGGCAGCGGGTCGCCGAAAGGCTCGTCGTGGCGATCCTGGCGATGAGCGGCAGCCAGCTCGCGCTTGACTCGAAGGCGCTGCTTCTGGACTTGCGCATTGGATCCAGAGGCGCGCCCCTGCCGCGGTCGCCCAGCTTGCGGCGACCAGGCAGGAAGAGAAAGGCGCCCAGTGATGAGGTGTTTGCCAGCTGCGCGCGTGGTGATGCGAAGGCCGCAGCGCATCTCCCATTGCGCCGCCGCCATGGCCTCGGCCCGCGCCAGGCAGGCGATTGCAGAGCGGCTCCTGACTATATGATGTGTGTAGCCCCCTTCTTTCCCTGCGTCGCACGTGCATTTGATTGGCGATTTGGCCACCTCGCTGTCTGTTCTCGACGGGAGGCCTGGCTATGTGAGAACTGCTGCTCGCGCGCTGAACTCGCCAAATGCAACGTGCGTTAGCGACGCTATGGGCCCCCCTGGTCGGTAAAAACTTTGCGCGCTATCAGCTGAGAGGCTGAATGATCTGAGCATTGACAAGGATGTGCGAATCTACAGACCTGTGAAGGAGCGCGGCAGCGATTCCATCAGTGGCCACCCGACCTTCGGATTGAAAACCAGCAAGAGACAACCAGGGCATTCGAGAGTGGGTCTGTAGATGACCTGTTGCAAGGATCCACTGCCCCCCCCCGTCGGTCCTTCGTTCGGCGCCCTGGGCCGTGCGAGCTTCGCCTGCAGATCGCGCGGGGTTGGAACAACTCTCCGCGTCGCATTCTTGGATTTGGATCGGCACCCCCTATCAAGGGCAGCACGTGAGACGTGTGTCTCGACGAGGCAGTGAAATAACACAAGTGCATCGCTCACGGGCCTTTAGAATGAAGTGCCACACCTTGCCCCCCATGGCGGCGACGCTGCCGTCCGTGATGTTCGTGAACTGATTCTCCCCTGGCCGCGTCCGCGACGAAAGCCGCTTGCTGCGATGCTTCGGACACCCCGAAGCCCTGATGGGAATATTTCGGACTGGTGCTGGTAGGCGGTGGCGGCGAGCTCACATCAAGTCAAGGCTGGTCATCGTCGTCTCCGACCCGGGTGGCCGTTGCCGCCTCCTGCTGCTCTTGCTCCTTCTTGCGCAGAGCCTCGGAATTCGCTTGGACGACGCGGTCGGCCTCGATCTTGGCCTTCTCCTCCCTCTCGGCGGCGGCGATGGAGCTGCCGCTTCCGCTGGGGCCACTTGGTCTTGCTGGGGCCCCCGCTAGAGCAGCCTGCTGGAACCTGACGCCGCTTCTTCTGCAGTCTTGCCTGGATGTCGGCTTGCGTCTCTTCCGCGAGAGACCTCATCCGCTTTGCCTTCCAGCGACTGATGCGCATCTACGAGCTCCGGGCGGATCTTCGTCAGATATTTGTTCTCATTCGCCTCGCTGTCCAGACCCTCGATGTCCTGGAACAGATCCTCGTCTCCATGCAATCCAAATGCCTTCTTAGGTGCATCGTATTGCTGCTGTCCACTCGCAGCCCATCTAAGGACATGTCCTCCTAGCAGTTGAGGATCCTGGCAGCCTGCTTTACCTCGGGCGCGATCTCCTGCCCCTTGGCCTTCGCCTTGTGGAGTTTTTTCTCCAGCCGCGCAACCGCTTGCACCGCTTGGTCGCGACGATTGCTCGCATCTCGGAGGACCTCATCTGCGCGTTGAAGCGCCTGCAAGATGGAGTTGATGCTATGCTTGCGCTAGCTTTCAACTGCGCCACCCGAGCTTCGAGATTTTTGTTAGCAGCGGGTCCTTCGCCGTTGCAGGTCCCTTCATTAGAAGAGTGGCCACGCAATTTTGGCCCTCGCTACCACGAGGCAAGCTTCGAGGCTTCGACTTGACACTATGACTGATGACTTTATTTGCCGATGTTGTATACAATTGTACCATACGTCCACATCTCTAACACTTCATCTCATTCTGCGTGATTTTATCATTGTAACCCGATTGCCCACATCCTCTGCAAGTGGACCATCGTCGAACAGGCATAGCTAATCGCGGATTCTGCCACCACTTACGTGAAACGGATGGGCACCGCCCAACGATATTGATGTGCCTCAAACACCACGTGGAGGTACCGCGGATGGGCTGGCGTGCTGGCTACAATGGTGTTCGAGCCAAAGTTACTTGAGCACGGATAAGGTCGAGGAAGGTGATGACGAGGAGGACGAGAAGGGGGAGGAGGGAAGACGAGGAGAATGAACAACAGTAGCAGCACTAGCAGAAGGGCAGAACGAGGAACCTGAGGGGCATTGGCCGACTGAGCATGATGAGGACGACAATGAGAATGCATAGGAGGGGGAAGGGCAGGAAGAGGAGGATGAAAACGAAAAGACGCAGCAGCAACATGACCCCCAGCTGCTCCGTCGGGAGCTGGCGGGTTTGGCTGACCGGCCACAGCCTGGGCGCGTCCCTGGCGATGATCATGGCTTACAGGACGCGCGCGGTTGGGGCACGCCGCCTGCGCCCCGCGGGGCAAGCCCTGCCCCCCCAGCTCCTGCGAGGGGCTGGGAGGGGCAGCAGGAAGAGGAAGCGGAGGGCAACACAGGGAGGTGGCGATGAGGTTGTTGCTGCTGGTGTTGGTGTTGAGGTTGGCGATGATAATGATGATTATGGTGATGGTGATATTCGTGATGATGGTGATGATGGTGATGGTGGTGGTGGTGTTTGTGATGATGACGACGACGACGGCGGTGATGCTGTGATGGTGATGATAATGATGATGAGTTCGACGAGGAGGAAGAAGATGACGATGGTGATGAGGATGAGGATGAGGATGATGATGGTGATGATGATGTTGATAGTGATGGTGATGGTGATGAGATGATGGTACTGATGATAATGTTGATGTGATCATGAAGATGATGATGCTGAAGCCGATGCTGAGGCTGATGCTGTCGCTGGTGATGATGCTATTTCTGCTGATGGTTATCACGATGCTGGTGACGATGCTTCTGCTGCTGCTGAGAATGCTGATAATGCGTATGATGATGCTGATGATGATAATGCCGATGATATTGATACTGATGCCGATGCCGATGATGATGATGATGATGATGATGATGATGATGATGATGATGATGATGATGACGGCTGTGATGATGAAGCTGCTGTTGATGATGATGGTGATTTTCACGTTGATGATACTGATGATGCTGATGATGATGATGATGATGGTGCTGTTGATGATGATTATGATGATGAGGATTACGGCGATGATGCTGCTGCTGATGATGATGACGCTGATGAGGATGAGGATGATGATGATGTTGATGGTGATGATTCTGCTGATGATGATTATGATGCTGATGCTGCTGATCATGATGATGCTGTTGATGTTGGTGGTGGTGGTGATGATGATGAGGATGCTGATGATGCTGATGATGATGATAATGCTGATGCTGAGGCTGATACTGATGATGATGCTGATGATGGTGATGATGATGCTGCTGATGATGATGATTGTGATGATGATGATGATGATGATGATGATGATGCTGAGGCTGATGCTGATGATGATGATGATGCTGATGATGATAAATATGATGATGATTATGATCATGATCATGGTGATGATGATGATGATGATGATGATGATGATGATGACGATGATGAGGATGATGATGATGATGGTGATGATGATGATGATGATGATGATGATGGTGGTGATGATGATGATGATGATGATGATCATGATCATGATCATGATCATGATCATGATCCTGATGATCATGATGATGAGTCGGAGTCGAAGTCAGAGTCGCAGTCGGAGTCGGAGGAGGAGGAGGTGGAGGTGGAGGTGGAGGCGGAGGAGGAGAGTGGATGATGCATGCAAGAGGAGGGTGGGGAAACGACCAGGTAGAGGAGGACTTGGAGGAGGAGGAGGAGGAGGAGGAGGAGGAGGAGGAGGAAGAGAAGGAGGAGGAGGCGGAGGTCTTCTGAGGGCATCTGATGATACGGGTCTGTCCATAGACCCCTGGCACACTGGCCTAAGCGAAGCCGCCTACGCGGCCTCAGAGCCGGGCCCGATGGGCCAGCAAGACGAGCAGACGGTCCGCTACCACCCCTGCTGTCCGAGGCCAGCAGGAGCCATGGCAGACAGCCCACACCACCGAGCCGCACCCAGCAGAGTCGACGAGAGGGCCCAACGGCTCAGGAAGCCCAAAGGCAAACGCGAGGCGAGACCAGCCGCGGCGACGAAGACCACCCGGGCCAAGCCCAAGCACCCGCCGCCACGGCAGACCGCATTGAGGCCTCAGCCTGCTTTCCGGCCGAGCCGCTCAAGCACATGAAGTCAAAGCAGCCGATGGCTTGCGACTTGCTCAGCGCGACGGCGTTCGCCTTCACAAAGCCGGCACTGCCGAAGATCCGACGATTCCTGTCTTTTGTCGCCTTCTTCAGGCGGGCCTTGATCATCACAACGCCCGGAATGACAAGCTGTCCGATGAGCTTCGCGATTGGCGTTTCAGAGTTCGGGGGGGTGCTGAAGGCCTCGATGATCACAGCACCCGGGATGACGAACCGACTGCTGTACCCCGCACCTGGCGTTGCAATGCTCGCAAGAGTGCTCAAGGCCGTGCTGAACTTCTCCGAAACATGCCCGCCATGGCTCCCGCAAGCTGCGCCCCTCGGAAGTGCGCGCGCGAACGTTCCCCCCTAGGCCCAGAGGGGCTAGGAGGAGGAGGAGGAGGAGGACGAGGAGGAGGAGGAGGAGGGGTGAGACAGAGTGGGAGGAGAGATGTGGCCGAGGAGGAGGAGGGGAGAAGGGGGAGGAGGAGGAGGAGGAGGAGGAGGAGCAGGAGCAGGAGCATGAGCGCACGAGCGGCGAACGTGTTATTGCCCGCACCCTCGCGGTCTGGACGCCGAGGTGCGATACGCTCCGCGCGGGGCATCCGCGAACATGTGCCCCGCGCGGATTTATGAGACGCGGCCGAGGGGCATCTTGGAGGTTTCTTGGGGTGCATCTTGCGGGCCTCTCGGGGGCCTCTTGGGGCCTCCTGGGCATCTCTCGGGGCTGTCCTGGGGCACCGTTGGGAGCCTCGAGGGCCACCTTGGAGCCATGTTGGAGGAGATCGATCAAAGGAGGGGCCGTAGTGCATCAGCCCCCCCCCCCGTCACCTTCAGGGGGCCAGAATGTGGCCCAAACCAAGGGGGCCTTGGAAGAGATCGATCAACGGAGGGGGGCTCCTTAATCAGCCCCTCCCCCGCCCCCCCCCTGGGAGGCCAACATGTGGCCACAACCTTAGTAACATCAGTGGTGTTGGCTTTCTTGTCGAGGCCCCTTGGGGCGTCTTGGATGTCTCTTGGGGGCCTTTTGGACTCTTGGAGCATATTGGGGGCCTCTTGGGAGCCTCTTGGGGGCACCCTGGAGGCCTCTTGGGGGTCTCTTGGGGGCTCCTGGGCTCTTCTTGGGGCCCTCGTTGGGCACCATTGGGAGCCTCGGGGTTCATCTTGGGGCCATCTAGTAGGAGATCGATCAAAGGATGGGCTGTAGCACATACGCCCCCTCCCCTCTGGAGGCCGACATGTGGCCAACATGTTAGTAACAACTGTGATGTTGGCGTCCTCGCCGACGCCATCTTAGAGACTCCAACGCCTCGCGAAAGGCCCCGTCCAGACCAAGGGGAAGGGGGTATGGGGAGGGGTCAAGACACCCTCCCTGCCCGCATGCTGCCTCGCTCACTCCCGCCCGCCCTCCCAACACTTACGTAGCACACGAGCCTCATCATGATCAACGGTCGTCTATGGATGGACAGCTACTGGGAACCAAAACAGACCCCATGTGCGCGACGCTGGGGCGAGTTGCGCCACCTGTGCCAGGCGTGGCAGACGCGCCACGCGAGCCAGGTGCGCCAGGCACCCTGAGGCCCAAGCGTGACAGGCACGCCTGGCGCGCCAGATGCGCCACGTGCTACACGTGCGCCATGCGTGCCGCATGGTCCAGCCGCGCCAGGTGAGCCACGTTCGGGGCACGCGCAGAATGTGCCAGGTGCGCCCGCGCACGCGACAGCACACATCGGGAAACATGTTGGCCCCCACCATCCTTGTCGAAACCAATTCGCAATCGCGGCGGCTAGGCCATCATGGTGTCTGCTGGGCCTGCGCACAGCAGGCAAAATGACAGCACCCCTGCCGTCCTTGTCAACAGGTAAGTGACAGTGATTGCGTGGTGCCCGCGTGTGGTCCATATTTAACAGCGAATTGCATTTTGTATTGTGCTGTTCCAGGGGTGGTGACCTTGCGCGCAGCATGCAACCTGAGCCCCCTCCCCGCCGTCCCTGTCAAAACAACAATACAACGTGCTCGCGCGGCCCACTCTTATGACCCAAGATGTTGGGGGGTTGTCATTTGTCCTGATTGGGGATGGGGGGGCTATCAACAGCGAACAGAGATAAAGCCCTCTCCGACGGGGAAGAAAGGGGGGGTTGGACGAGGAAACTCGCTAAACCATTCACGCCCTGAAGGGCTGGTAGGACTCCCCTTCTTCCTTTCCTCATAAAGTTCCTCCTCCGTTCCACCTCTCTTCCTCTTCCCTTCTTCCTTCCTCATCCCTCCTCCTCTTGCTGCTGCCGCTCCCCCTCATGCGCATTATCTCCGGCATGCCTCGTCTCCCCGTGCCGGCCAGGATATCCTGGCTGGTGAGCATCAGGCCCACGGTCTACACGTACGGCGGGCCCAGGGGGTGGGCGCACGCAGTTCCCGAGCGAACAGGAGAAGCATGCAAGAGGCAGAGGAGGATGATGAGGAGGATGAGAAGGAATAGGAGGATGATGATGAGGAGGATGAGGCGAAAGTCACACTCGGCGGGCCCAGGGTGAAGGTGGCAGAGCTCTCCGAGTAAATCGGTCTCTGAAGGATGCCGATTGCGCCCGATCACGTTATCGATTGAAACCGAAGAGTTGTCAAGTTGTGATCGCGCAGCTTTTGTTTGTAGTCTGACCTGCTCGAGAGCGTGGCGAGGGACTTCTAGGCTCGAGCCTCGGCGGCTCCGGAGCGCGCAACAAAGGCGTGCCTGCATGCGCACCTGCCTGGAGCACATCCTGCGACGACGGATTCGCCATCACGCGCGGTGCGACCGGCGGGACCAGGGGCGGAGCACGGACCGCCGGCACCGAGAAGCAGCCGGGGCGGGACCGACCCCCCGCGGGTGGTGGCACGCCTGATCGTCGTGCTGCGCTGTGTGACGCTCGGGCGTGCCGCCGCCCCGAGGTCCTCCTCCTCCTCCTCCTCCTCCTCCTCCTCCTCCTGCTCCTCCCTCCTCCTCCTCCTCCTCCTCCTCCTCCTCCTCGTCCTCCTCCTCCTCCTCCTCCTCCTCTCCTCCTCCTCCTCCTCCTCCTCCTCCTCCTCCTCCTCCTCCTCCTCCTCCTCCTCCTCCTCCTCCTCCTCCTCCTCCTCCTCCTCCTCCTCCTCCTCCTCCCGCCCCCCACGAGCGCTCGGTGGCGGTGGCCCCTGCTCCTCCTCTGGGAGGAGGGGGGGCTCTCTCTGCCCCGCGCTGCGGGCCCGTCGGAAGGCTCCCCGCCGCGGGGAGGGGGCGTCCCGCGGCACGAGCAGGCTGCCCGCCCGCGAAGTTTCGCGCCCGTGCCGCGCGGCCCGGCCGGGCGGGCGGCCCAGACGTGCTGCGGGGCTCTGGGCCTCCTGGATGGGGTCGGAGCAGGTGGGGTCGGAGGATCGCGCCGCATCGCCGATGCGGCTCGACGCGGGGCCCGACTTTCTGCACGCAGGCGTCGCCGATGCGTCGCCGACGTCGCCGACACATCGCCAGTGCATCGCCGATGCATCGCCGATGCGGCGCGATCCTCCGACCCCGTCTGCTCCGACCCCATCCGAGAGGCCTCTGAGGGCGGAAAAAGGGAAAGGGAAGAGGGGCAAGGGGGCAGCGAAGTTCCCATCTCTCGTGACCTCCTCCCATCTCTGCTCGCTCCCATCTCTCGTGGCCTCCTCCCCGTGCGCTCCGCCCCGCCCGCCCCGCCGTCTCTCTCTTGGCCGCACGGGCCGGGTTGTGCCGGGCGGGGCGGGGTGGACGAGGCTCCTCGGCGCCCTGCTCGCTCGCTCCCTCCCTCCTTTCCTCCACCCTCCCCCCCTTGTCGTCGTCGTCGTCCTCGTCGTCGTCGTCGTCGTCGTCGTGGTCGTCGTCGTCCTTGTCGTCGTCGTCGGCTCCGTCGTCGTCGTCGTCGTCTTCGTCCTCGTCGTCGTCTTCGTCCTTGTCGCCCTCGTCCTCGTCCTCGTCCTCGTCCTCGTCCCCGTCCCCCTCCTTCCTGCCCCTTCTGTCCTGCCCCTCTGTCTTCCCGCTTCGTCAGCCTCCCTTCCTCAGCCTCCTTTGCTCCTCCTCCTCCTCCTCCTCCTCCTCCCCCTCCTCCTCCTCCCCAGTTCTTCGTAATGTCTCGTGGACCCCGCCCCCAGAGACGCTTGGTTCGGCGGGTGGCCGAGGTGGTCCGTCGTGCGCCCCCCCTCCGAGCCCCCCCCCGCACCCCGCAGGGACTGAGCAACAGCGTTGCAGCAGCCCCTGTCCCGCTCGCGACCTCTCTCCTCCCGCCTCCACGCCGCGCCGCTCCGGCATTCCCCCCCTCTCTCCTTCTCCAGGCCCGGGGGCACCGAGCTCCAGCACAGCCCTCCCCCGCCCTCAGGCCGGGGTCTCCTGGGGGGTCTCTTCGGGAGCGTCGGCTTCCGCGGGCCCGGGCCTCGGCCCATCCCCCCCAGCCCCGCAGAGGGCAGCCGCGCACCGGCAACGCGGCCTTTGCGAAGCTCGTGGCCGCGACGCTGCCCCGGGCCTTCCGCCTGGACCGGGGGCTGGGTGGGCCTCCTCTGTGAGCGGAGCGGGTGCGAGCGTCGACAAGTCGCAAGAGTGACCCTTCGCCGGAGTGACCTTGAGCGCGGGCCCGCTGGGCTCCCCCGATCGCCGCACGCGATGCGATAGCAGCGATAGTAGCGTCTTGCGCGCTCGGGCTTGGTCCCCCCGCGGTCCCCCAAGTAGCTGCGCACCCAACGGGCTCTGCCGGGGGGGCTCCAATTCCATTCGCCAGATTGTTTACACGTCAAACTGGCTTTCTGGATGGGGGGGCGCACCATGCTCTGGCGATCTGTGGCGCGCGCGTGGGGCGCGCGGTTTAACAAAACCACGGGCCCCAGGGGGAAGCCCAATTTTTAGCCAGCGGATTCCTTACGCGTAGAAGTTCGTGTGCGGAGGGGGGGGGGGGCCGACATGCGCCCGGCTCGCGCGTGCGCGCCACGTGTTCTCACGTGTCCACGGCCCCCAGGGGGAAACCCAACTTTAGTCGTCGAGCTTCGCACGCGTAGAACTATGTGCGCGCATGGGGAGACCCAACATGCGCTTGGCGCGTGCCCGCGGGGCACGTTTTTTCATGTGTCCACGGCTCTAGGAGGAAACCCAACCTCTAGTCGTCGAGTCTTGCGCGCGTGCAAATCTGTGCGCGGATGGGGGCGCCCAGTATACGCCTGGCACGTGCGCGCGGGGCACGTTTGTCCACGTGTCCATGCCCTCCAGAGGAGGGCCCAACTTCTTGTCGCTGGATTTTCCAAACGTGCACGTGCGTGCGCGGATGGGGGGGCCCAACATGTGCCTGGCGCGTGCGCGCGGGCTGTAATGGCTCCGGCGCAGGGTTCTCTTTATGTTGGCGGGCATTTGGCCTTGAACTCGAAGCGTGTCGAGCAGCAGGCGTCGTTTTTGTTTGTTTGTTTTCTTCTTTGTTCATATTGTTTTTCGCCACAACGGACACCCCCGTGAGACACCCAATTTGTCTTCGTCGGATTTTCACGTTCAAGCTTGTGTTAGCCAGCGTGGACCCCTAACCACAAACAGAGTGTTTGTGATAATGTACGGTAGGTCTGTGTCGTGTCGACTTTCGGCGACCCGGGCGCGCGACTTCAAGGTTGAATTCCGCGGTGCGCGAGCGCATTAACGTTTGAATGATCGGCGGTGTCTCCTCCGTCCCCTTTCTCTCTCCCTTCTCTCCTCCTTCTGCCCCCAGAACGTTTACCTTTGAACGATCCTGTCGTCCCCTTCGGTATCCCTTGTTCTCTCCCTTCTCCCTACGATGACGAAGGCCAGGGCCTTCGGGGAAGAAAGTAGCGTGCGTTGATTCACACATACTCTGCAAAAGCACGCTGCTTTGGGCCCACGCTCGCTAACATATGTAATTTCTCTTGTGCGTGAAATCTCTTGGGCCCGTTCTTCCACCCATGTCCAGCCGCATTCGTTGTTCATGTGCGGCCCCGCCGCCACATTCGTTATTCAAGTGTGGTCCCACAGCGCTGGGGGACGGGGGTTGGCTGCCCGCGGACGCGTGGATCCTCTTGGACCATGGTCCCATTAGATGCCTTGGTTGTGGGTCGGAGACCTCTCGGATGCTTGGGTTGTGTGTCAGGGTCGTCAGGCTCGCCACCGTGCCTGGGTTGTGGGTCAGAGACACCTCGGATGCTTGGGTTGTCCGTCAGGGACCTCGGGCTCGCCACCGTGCCTGGGCTGCCGGACAGAGACCTCTCGGATGCCTGGGTTGTGCGTTAGGGACCACAGGCTCGCCACCGCGCCTGGGTTGTGGGTCAGAGACATCTCGGATGTCTGGGTTGTGCGTTAGGGACATCCGGCTCGCCACCGTGCGTGCCTGGGTTGTGGGCCAGAGACATCTCGGATGCTTGGGGTGCGCGTTTGGGGCGTCAGGCTCGCCACCGTGCTTGGGTTGTGGGTCGGATGCGTTTCGGATGCTTGGGTGGCGAGTTAGGGATCTCAGGCTCGCCACCATGCCTCGGTTGTGGGTCAAAGACATCTCGGATGCCTGGGTTGCACGTCAGGGACCTCAGGGTCGACACCGTGCCTGGGTTGTGGGTCAGAGACATATCGGATGCCTGGGTTGTTCGTCAGGGACTTAATGACATAACAAATGACAAAAAAAATAAACACAAGTGCCTGGGTTGTGGTTCTGAGACTTCTCGGGTGCCAAGGTTGTGCGTTAGGGACCTCTGGCTCGCCACCGTGCTTGGGTTGTGTGCTAGAGACATACCGGATGCCTGTTTTGTGCGTCAGGGACTTAATGACATAACACATGACAACAACAAATATCCAAAAACACATGGAAACACAAGTGCCTGGGTTGTGGTTATGAGAATTATCGGATGCCTGGGTTGTGCGTCGCGGACCTCAGGGTTGCCGCCGTGCTTGGGTTGTGTGTCAGAGACATCTCGGATGCCCGGGTTGTGCGTCAGGGACCCAATGACATAACACTGACGACAAAATAGCGCCCAAAAAATATGAAAACACAAGTGCTTGGGATGTGGTTATGACACTTCTCGGACGCCTGGGTTGTGCGTTAGGGACCTCAGGCTCGCCACCGTGCCTGGGTGGCGTGTTAGGGACATCTCTGATGCCTGGGTTGTGCGTCAGGGAACTACATCTCGCGACGAGGACTGGGGCATCCTGGGGGTGGCGTGAGTGGCGGATCCTCGTGTGGTCCCAAGCGCCACCCCCCAGGAGCCCCAATGGCCTAAAGGCATAACAAACAACAACAAAACAAAAAAAAAACAACACAAAATATGCATGCACAAGTGCCTGGGTTGTGGTTATGAGACGTATCGGATGCCTGGGCTGTGGGTCATACACACTTCGGATGCCTGGGCTGTGGGTCATACACACTTCGGATGCCTGTGTTGTGGGTCAGACACACTTCGGACGCATGTCGTCTGAGGCTCGCCGCCTTGCCTGGGTTGTGTGTCATGGACACTTCGGATGCCTGTGTTGCGGGTCAGAGACCTGAGGCTTGGGTTGTGGGTCAGCGCCCTCAGGCAAGCCACCGGCCCCGGGGCCGACCCCTCGAGCACGTCGTCGTTGTGCCCGCGCAACGACGACTCGAACTTCCTCGTTGCGACACTGCCAGAGCACTGACCGCCGCCATGAACACCAGAACCGTCGCGGCTCAAGGGCCCGGCGGCCCCCGAGGAGGCGAGCAGCAGAGCGCCAGCCTCGGGCCGGGCGAAAGGGTGGGATTGGGAAAGGGGGGGTTACGAAATTTGCTGCATGCAGCTGGTTTCGGCCTCACCGAGGGGCCCATTCCTCGATACATAGCCGCCTCCGGCGCCGGGAGGCGCCGGGAAAATCAGCTACGTGAGCTGATTCTCAAACCCCCCCTTTGCTATCCCCCCCTTTCGCCCGACCCGGGCTCCGCCGCCACGCCGCGTCGCCCCGCAGGCGCGAGCACCGGCCTCCTCCAGCGGAATGGGTGATCCGTGGCTCGTTTCCGACGAGGAGCTGGACGCTGGATGCAGACGGCCCTGCAGCAGCTGCAGGTCAAACACAGCGGGTGCGCTGCCAATATCACGGTCCACAGCATGGAGTCCTCAAACCCGTGTGTGTTTCAGGCGAGGGCCGCGAAAGATTTCGCAGTCGGCGAGGTGGTGTTGATTCCGCACGGACCTGTGCACGACTTCTCGGAGGGGGCCAAGATGAGGAGGCCAAAATCGCATCATCCGCAGCACCCCTACTTGGTAACGACAGAAATCGGAGCCTACGACATCTGCGACGACCTATCGAAATACATCATCCAGAGCCCCCTCGCCCAGTTCAAGCCAGGCAAGGCCCTAGGGGTGTCGCCCTTCTGGGCGGTCTTGGAGGCGACGGCGGCCGACACCACGGTGGGGAACTTGGAGGCGAGGTGCCTGACGCAAGAGATCTCCTGCGAGTTCAAGCAGGATGGGCGCAAGCAGCGTGGGAAAGATAAAACCCCAACGGTGACGATCCTGGTGCCCGCGTTCGTGAACGTGAAGGCGGTGATGCGCGGGGCAGTCTTCGTCGCCAAGCCTGCTGCCATCCAGAACATGTGAAGTGCGTGGAGAGACATTCGCTACGTAGACATATGTCTCACACTTTGATTGTGCGCGATTTGCTACATACGTACCGTGCCAGGTGCGCGACCCGTGCGCCGACCGCTCTGTGTCGTCAGCCGCACACTGGGCACTCAGCTGTCCGGCAGGGCAGACGGCCGAACAAAAAAAAATAAAAATCCAAAACAGAAGAAGTGCCAACGCCAACAGAACCAAAAAAAAATGTAAACATAATTGCCTGGGTTGTGGATCAGGGACCAGGAGGGGCCACGAGGGGCCAGGGCCCCTGAGACCAGGAGGGACCAGGAGGGACCAGGACGGACCAGGACGGACCAGGAGGGACCAGGAGAGACCAGGATGGACCAGGAGGGGCCAGGAGGAACTAGGAGGGACCAGGAGGGGCGAGGAGGGACCGGGAGGGACCTGGAGGGACCAGGAGGGACCAGGACCCCTGAGCCCAGGAGGGACCAGGAGGGACCAGGCGGGACCAGGAGGGACCAGGAGGGACCAGGAGAGACCAGGAGGGACCAGGAGGGACCAGGAGGGACTAGGAGGGACCAGGAGGGACCAGGAGAGACCAGGAGGGACCAGGACCCCTGAGCCCAGGAGGGACCAGGAGGGAACAAGAGAGACCAGGAGGAACCAGGAGGGACCAGGAGGCACCAGGACCCCTGAGCCCAGGAGGGATCAGACCGCAAACCGGCTTGGGTTGTGGGTCGGAGGCATTTCGGATGCTTGGGCGGCGAGTTCGGGATCTCAGGCTCGCCACCATGCCTCGGTTGTGGGTCAGAGACATCTCGGATGCCTGGGTTGCACGTCAGGGACCTCAGGGTCGACACCGTGCCTGGGTTGTGGGTCAGAGACATATCGGATGCCTGGGTTGATCGCCAGGGACTTAATGACATAACACATGACAACAACGAAGAACAAAACATATATAAACACAAGTGCCTGGGTTGTGGTTCTGGGATATCTCGGATGCCAGGGTTGTGCGTTAGGGACCTCTGGCTCGCCACCGTGCTTGGGTTGTGTGTTGCCGACATACCGGATGCCTTTGTTGTGCCTCAGGGACTTAATGACATTACACATGAAAACAACAAATATCACAAAAGACATGGAAACACAAGTGCCTGGGTTGTGGTTCTGAGAATTCTCGGATGCCTGGGTTGTGCGTCGCAGACCTCAGGCTTGCCGCCGTGCCTGGGTTGTGTGTCAGAGACATCTCGGGCGCCCAGGTTGTGCGTCAGGGACCTAATGACATAACAACGACGACAAAATAGCGCCCCAAAAATATGAAAACACAAGTGCTTTGGTTGTGGTTATGACACTTCTCGGACGCCGGGGTTGTGCGTTAGGGACCTCAGGCTCGCCACCGTGCCTGGGTGGCGTGTGAGGGGCCCCCTTGATGCCTGGGTTGTGCGTCAGGGAACTGCAGCTCGCGACGATGACTGGGGCATCCTGGGGGTGGCGTGAGTGGTGGATCCTCGTGTGGCCCCAAGCGCCACACCCCAGGAGCCCCAATGGCCTAAAGGCATAACAAACAACAACAACAAAAAGAGCAACACAAAATATGAAAACACAAGTGCCTGGGTTGTGGTTCTGAGACGTATCGGATGCCTGGGCTGTGGGTCATACACACTTCGGATGCCTGGGTTGTGCGTCGCGGACCTGAGGCTTGCCGCCGTGCCTGGGTCGCGTGTCAGAGACACCTCGGATGCCCAGGTTGTGCGTCAGGGACCTACTCACATAATAACGATGGCAAAATAGCGCCAAAAAAAAAAGGAAAACACAGGTGCTTTGGTTGTGGTTATGACACTTCTCGGACGCCTGGGTTGTGCGTTAGGGACCTCAGGCTCGCCACCGTGCCTGGGTGGCGTGTGAGGGACACCCTTGATGCCTGGGTTGTGCGTCGGGGAACCACATCTCGCGACGAGGACTGGGGCATCCTGGGGGTGGCGTAAGTGGCGGATCCTCGTGTGGTCCCAAGCGCCACCCCCCAGGAGTCCCAATGGCCTAAAGGCATAACAAGCAACAAAAAAAAGAGCACCACAACATATGGAAACACAAGTGCCTGGGTTGTGGTTATGAGACGTATCGGATGCCTGGGCTGTGGGTCATACACACTTCGGATGCCTGGGTTGCGCGTCACGGACCTCAGGCTTGCCGCCGTGCCTGGGTTGTGTGTCAGAAACATTTCGGATGCCCAGGTTGTGTGTCAGGGACCTACTGACATAACAATGACGACAAAGTAGCGCCCAAAAAAATATGAAAACACAAGTGCTTGGGTTGTGGTTATGACATTTCTCGGCCGCCTGGGTTGTGCGTTGGGGACCTCAGGTTCGCCAGCGCCCCTGGGTGGCGTGTTAGGGACATTTATGATGCCTGGGTTGTGCGTCACAGACCTCAGGCTTGCCGTAAGTGCCTGGGCTGTGTGTCAGAGACATCTCGGATGCCCGGGTTGTGCGTCAGGGACCTAATGACATAACAATGACGACAAAACAGCGCCCAAAAAATATGCAAACACAAGTGCTTGAGTTGTGGTTATGACACTGCTCGGATGCCTGGTTTGCGCGTAAGTGGCCGATCCTCGCGTGGCCCCAAGCGCCACCCCCAAGGAACCCCAAAAGCGGCGCCGAGGGTGGCGTAAGTGGCGGATCCTCGTGTGGTCCCGAGCGCCACCCCGTCGGCGCCGCGACGAGGACTGGGGCATCCTGGGGGTGGCGTAAGTGGCGGATCCTCGTGTGGTCCCAAGCGCCACCCCCCAGGAGCCCCAATGGCGGAATGACATAACAAACAACAGCAAAAAAAGAGCAACACAAAATATGGAAACACAAGTGCCTGAGTTGTGGTTATGAGACGTTTCGGATGCCTGGGCTGTGGGTCATACACACTTCGGATGCCTGGGTTGTGGGTCAGACACACAGCGGATGCATGTGGCCTGAGGGTCGCCACATTGCCTGGGTTGTGGGTCACACACATTTCGGATGCCTGGGTTGTGGGTCATACACACGTCGGATGCCTGGGTTGTGGGGCCTGCGTCAACGCCAGTACATTTGTAGCCTTTTTTCGGCTTAGCTGCCAAGCGGCTCGCCCCGCGGCGCCTCCAGCGGCGGCTCGCCCCGCGGCGCCTCCAGCGGCGGCTGCCCCGCGGCGCCTCCGGCGGCGGCCGCCGAGCGGATGCCCCGCGGCGCCTCCGGCGGCGGCCGCCGAGGGGCTGCCCCGCGGCGCCTCCGCCTCCCGCGCCGACAGAGGCGCTTCGCAGCGCCGCGCTGGCATGGCTTACTTGGCCGCGCTGGCGGCGCAGGCGCCGTCGTCGTCGTCGTCGTCCTCGTCCTCGGCCTCGTCGTTTCCGTCGTCGTCGTCGTCGGCGACGTCGTCGTCTCCTTTGGAGTCGCCGACGACGGCGACGACGACGACGACGACGACGACGACGACGAGGACGGAGACGACGAAGACGTGCTCGACGCAAGGTTGCCCGAAAGTTTAAGGTTCAACGATTGGCCGTTGTCACGAGGGTGAATCATTGCAGTTTGAAGGGTTCGCCGTTGTGGCAAGCGCCAAACGTTGAACCTTTAACGATCAGGCCGCCCTGTTTCGCGGCAGTCTGGAGCAGGCTGCGCCCGAGCCTCGGGCTCGGCGACGAGCTGGGCGGCAAGGGCGGTCGTCCGCGTTGCCGATCAGCACGAGGCTGGAGATGGGCGCGCGCATTGGCGCTTGGGTCGAGGAGCAAGCAGGAGCTGGCATCCACTACACTCGCATGCCGTGGGGTGCCCTCGCCACCAACATGTTCAACCTGACGCCCTCCAATGCCGTGGCGTGCCGGCTGAAGCGGGTCTACGCGGAGTGGGCCGGCAAGAGCAAGGCCGGGCGCCTGACCCCAGCAGGGGCGGGCGCGGAGGACCGGCAGCAGAGGAGGCGGCGGTCGGACGACCCGCAGGAACGCAGCCAGCTCCAGCGCATGTCCTCGTTGATTGGGTTCGGCGTGTTGTGCACGCCGAACCCAATCAACGACACGGACACGCGTGTTGTGCACGAGGTTTGGACGGTTTCTCGGAAGGGCTTCGGCGACCCCGTCCTCCTCCTCCTCCTCCTCCTGGACTTTTCGCCGTTTCTTCGTGGAGTTTTTCGTGGACCTCCTATCCTCGAAGGTTTTTCTTCGAGTTTGGCCTCAGGGGCCCGTTGTCGGGCCCGAGCTTTAAAACCAACCCTGGGGAGCCTCCTAAGTCGCCTACGGCCCCGGGGGAAACCGTCCACCACGAGGGAGTTCGAGTGGACTCTCTTCGGCCAGGCCTGGGCGACGGAGGGCGGCCGGGGAGGAGCGGCGGACGCCGCCGCCGCCCTGCACCGGCTCATCAACCAGTGCGCCCCTGGCGGCGCGGACCTGTTCCGCAGACGGTGGCAGCCTCCCGCCCTGCTGGAGACGTGCGGCATGGTGGCTCCGAAAGCGTTCGTGTACGCGATCATTTTGCTTAGCACGTGGCTTGGGCCAGAGGCGTACCCAGAGGGCGTGCGCGAGTGGCCGCCTGCCATCCCTGCCGCAGTCACTGCGGGGTAGTGCTAGTGCTTGCAGCTCGCCGCCCGAATGTCCGCACATGGGGCACTGAGCTGTCCGGCAGGGTAGGCGGCCGAAAAAAGAAGAAACAACAAAACAGAATAATGACACCACAACGAAACAACAAACACAACGAAAGAGAAGAGAAACATATGAAAACAGCCGTGCCTGGGTTGTGGGTCACAGACACTGCGGATGCGTCGGTTGTGGGTCAGAGACTTCAGGCTTCGGTTTTGCGCCAGAGCCCTCAGGCTAGCCAACGGCTCTGGGGCCGACCTCCCGAGCACGTCGTCGATGTGCCGCCGCGCATTGGGTACGGAGCTGTCCGGCAGCACCAAAAGAACAAGACAATATCAAAACTGAAGTGCCCTGGTTGTGGTCCTGACACTTGTCGGATGCCTGGGTTGTGGGTCGCACACACTTCGGATGCCTGGGTTGTGGGTCAGACACACTTCGGACGCATGTCGTCTGAGGATCGCCACCTTGCCTGGGTTGTGTCTCCTAGACACTTCGGATGCCTGTGTTGTGGGTCAGAGACCTGGGACTTGGGTTGTGGGTCAGCGCCCTCAGGCCAAGCGCCACCCCCAAGGAGCCCCAGAAGGGTCGACACCGTGCCTGGGTTGTGGGTCAGAGACATATCGGATGCCTGGGTTGTTCGTCAGGGACTTAATGACATAACACATGACAACAAAAAAGAACAAAACATATATATAAACACACGTGCCTGGGTTGTGGTTTGGAGGTCTCGAGGGTGCCAGGGTTGTGCGTTAGGGACCTCTGGCTCGCCACCTTGCTTGGGTTGTGCGTTAGAGACATACCGGATGCCTGTGTTGTGCGTCAGGGACTTCACGACATAACAAATGACAACAACAAATATCCAAAAAGACATGGAAACAGAAGTGCTTGGGTTGTGGTTATGAGCATTATCGGATGCTTGGGTTGTGCGTCACAGACCTCAGGCTGGCCGCCGTGCTTGGGTTGTGTGTCAGAGACATCTCGGGTGCCCGGGTTGTGCGTCAGGGACCTGATGACATAACAACGAGGACAAAATAGCGCCCAAGAAATATGAAAACACAAGTGCTTGGGCTGTGGTTATGACACTTCTCTGACGCCAGGGTTGTGCGTTAGGGACCTCGGGCTCGCCACCGTGCCTGGGTGGCGTGTGAGGGACACCCTTGATGCCTGGGTTGTGCGTCAGGGAACAACATCTCGCGACGAGGACTGGGGCATCCTGGGGGTGGCGTAAGTGGCGGATCTTCGTGTGGTCCCAAGCGCCACCCCCCAGGAGCCCCAATGGCCGAATGACATAACAAGCAACACCAAAACAAAAAAAAAAACAACACAAAATATGCATGCACAAGTGCCTGGGTTGTGGTTATGAGACGTATCGGATGCCTGGGCTGTGGGTCATACACACTTCGGATGCCTGGGCTGTGGGTCATACACACTTCGGATGCCTGTGTTGTGGGTCAGACACACTTCGGACGCATGTCGTCTGAGGCTCGCCGCCTTGCCTGGGTTGTGTGTCATGGACACTTCGGATGCCTGTGTTGCGGGTCAGAGACCTGAGGCTTGGGTTGTGGGTCAGCGCCCTCAGGCAAGCCACCGGCCCCGGGGCCGACCCCTCGAGCACGTCGTCGTTGTGCCCGCGCAACGACGACTCGAACTTCCTCGTTGCGACACTGCCAGAGCACTGACCGCCGCCATGAACACCAGAACCGTCATCACCATCGCCATCATCATAAGCATTGCCATCATCATTCTCGCCGTCGCGGCTCAAGGGCCCGGCGGCCCCCGAGGAGGCGAGCAGCAGAGCGCCAGCCTCGGGCCGGGCGAAAGGGTGGGATTGGGAAAGGGGGGGTTACGAAATTTGCTGCATGCAGCTGGTTTCGGCCTCACCGAGGGGCCCATTCCTCGATACATAGCCGCCTCCGGCGCCGGGAGGCGCCGGGAAAATCAGCTACGTGAGCTGATTCTCAAACCCCCCCTTTGCTATCCCCCCCTTTCGCCCGACCCGGGCTCCGCCGCCACGCCGCGTCGCCCCGCAGGCGCGAGCACCGGCCTCCTCCAGCGGAATGGGTGATCCGTGGCTCGTTTCCGACGAGGAGCTGGACGCGGAGGGGCCGGCACTGCTGGGCGGGGCCCAAGAAGCGGAGCAGGCGGCGCTGCAGGACTTGGAACGGCAGGCGCTGACGGATGCAGCCGATGACCACCCGGGCGAGGAGCAGCCGCCAGAGGCACCGGCGCCGGCGCTTGTCTCAGCGATGGCAGCGAGCGCCGGCGCTCCCTCTCGTCCCTGCCGCCAGCGCGGAGTCGCCAAGAAGCACTTGAAGAAGGCAGCGCCGAAGCCGCGCGGCCGGACGCTCAAGCGGTGGGGCTCAAGCGGTGGGGTTCCGGCGGGAGTGCAGGTGGTGAGTCGCTTGGCCGTGTGGGGCCCGAAGATAAAGGCCAAGATCAAGAGGCTCGGCGTGAGGGGCCTCGGCATTGGCGAGGATTGGGTGAAGAGCAGGAAGGCCGGGTACCGGGAGGCCATCGTGTTCTGGAACAGAGAGGACAAGAGCACGAGAGATCGCATTCCCGTCCCTGACGAGTGAGTTGCTGCGGGCGCCCCAGACCTGATGTTACCGTGAGGAAAAATGCATGGGATCCCAGACACATCAAGAAGAAATGGCACTTCCATGAGTACATTACTTTCATGTTGGCGCGCGTTTGGCGCGTGGTCTGGGCGCATCTGGCGCCCTGGCTGTCATCCAGAACATGTGAAGTGCGTGGAGAGAGAGATTCGCTACATAGACATGCGTCGCACACAAAGATGGTGTGCGATTTGCTTTATACGTACCGTGCCAGCTGCGCGAGCCGTGCGCCGACCGCTCTGTGTCATCAGCCGCACACTGGGTACTCAGCTGTCCGGCAGGGCAGAGAGCCGAAAAAAAACAAAACAAGTAGTACAAAACAGAAGAAGTGCCAACGCAAACATAACCCAAAACATATGATAACATAAGTGCCTGGGTTGTGGGTCAGGGGCCAGGAGGGGCCAGGAGGGACCAGGACCCCTGAGCCCAGGAGGGACCAGGAGGGACCAGGAGGGACCAGGAGGGACCAGAAGGAACCAGGAGAGACCAGGAGGGACCAGGAGGGACCAGGAGGGACTAGGAGGGACCAGGAGGGACCAGGAGGGACCAGGAGGGACCAGGAAGCACCAGGACCCCTGAGCCCAGGAGGGACCAGGAAACACCAGGACCCCTGAGGAGGAGGCGGAGGGGGAGGAGGACGAGGAGGCGGAGAAGGACGAGGAGATGGCGACAGGCGCGCGCTTCGTGCCAGCACTGGTCCGGCGGGGCGCCATCGCCGCTGCAGTTGCGGCCGCCGTTGTTCGACAGCAGGAGCAGGAGGAGGTTTTGCAGGCAAGTTTCTCCGTGTTTGGGTTTCTCTTGTCCCGCACCCGCGCTTCTCCCTCCTCCTCCTCCGCCCCCTTCCCCTCCTCCTCCTCTCCTCCTCCTCCCTCGTCGCCATTTTGGCTCGTAGCCATTTTGGCTCCAGGCTCAATTCTTCGTTGCAGCGTGGGCGAGGGCCCCGTGGGCGAGGGCCGCTTGGGCGAGAATCCTTGCGTTGGTAGCGGCGCTGGCGGCGACTGCCCCGATAGGCACGCGCGGCGGTCGCGGGGTCCAGGGCGACATCTTACGAAGCTCTTGGGCCTGTGGTGTTTGTTCGGGGCGCGGGGGCGGCAGGGCGCGTGGGCAGCGGGTCTGCGCGGAGCGGGCTGCCAGTCGAGCTCAACGCCACGCCGTCGAGTCGCGTCATTGCGGCCCCCGTTCATTTGGAAAAGAATCCTGCCCGCGCACGCGCTTTGCGTTTGAGTGGGGCGGCACGGGCGCGCTGCGCTGGCCCCCGTCATTTGGAGAAAAAACGGTCCCTGTCCGCGCGCGCGATTTGCGATTGAGTCAAGGGGTAAGGGCGCGCTGCGCTGGCCCCCGTCGTTTGAAAAGAATACGGTTCCTGTCCGCGCCAGCGCTTTGCGTTTGAGTCAAGGGGCAGCGGCTGTCAGGACTACGGGAGTTGTGAGAGTTCCGGGGGCTGCCATGGCGAGTTCCCGTATGGGCAATCCCCATTTGGAAACCCAACATAGGGAATCGCCATATGGGGAATACCCATACGGGAAATCGCCATGTACGGAATCCCAATGTTGGAAACCCCTTTCATATAGAGAGTCCCCATGCAAGGAATCCCCATACAAGGAACCCCATGTATGGGGGCCTTAATATACGGAGTTCTAATATAGGAAATCCTCAAATAAGCGATTCCCTACATGGGGATTCCTCACATGGAGGTTCTTGAAATGGTGATTCCTAACATGGTGATCCCCCAACATGAGGAGACCCCATATAGGGATTCCTTATATGGGGTTTTCCCACACGAAGATTCCGTATATGCGACGCACCGTACGGGGTATTCCCATACGAGGACCCCCCTTATGAGGGATCCCCATCTGGGGATTTCCCATATTAGGGTTCCTTACGCGGGGAATCCCCATAGGGGTTTCCCCATATGGGCATTCCCTATGTGGGGCTTCTCTACATTGGATTCCTTATATGGGGTTTCTCAAGCTTGGGAACCAGAGGTTTCCCAAGCTTGGGAACCAGAGGTTTCCAAGGATGTCCCAGTCAAGCTTGCGGAAGCTTGGGTTCCCCAAGCTTGGGGAACCAGAGGTTTCCCAAGCTTGGCGCAGTCAAGCTGGTGGAAGCTTGGGTTTCCCAAGCTTGGGGAACCTAGTGCGTCCCAAGCTTGGCTCAGTCACGCTTGGGGAAGCTTGGGTTTCCCAAGCTTGGGGAACCTTGGGTTTCCCAAGCTTGGCTCAGTCAAACTGGGGGAACCTTGGGTTTCCCAAGCTTGGGGGACCTGAGTTTCCCAAGCTTGGGGGGTCAGGGGTTTCCCAAGCTTGGCTCAGTGAAGCTGGGGGAAGCTTGGGTTTGCCACGCTTGGGGAACCTGTGGTGTACAAGCTTGGCTCAGTCAAGCTGGGGGGAGCTTGGGTTCCCAAGCTTGGGGAATCAGAGGTTTCCCAAGCTCGGCGCAGTCAAGCTTGGGGAAGCTTGCCTGGGCCCAGGTTATATACTTTCCAGCGGGTGGGCAAGCGGGTGTTCACATCGTTTTATATAGTTTTTAGCGGCTGTTTCCCGGAATTCGGGTCGAAATTGAGGAATTTTTCGGAATCATTTCAGGGGTTTTGGGAACAATTCGGAAGATTTCTGTGGCAATTAGGGCGCTTTCGGAACGATTCGGGTGCATCGCCTCTCTTGCACGCGCCGCCGTGCGCAAAACATTTCGCCTTGCACGCAACCGTTGCGCAGGGCGTTCCGTCTTGTATGCAAAATGCGCGGCCGCGGCGCCCAGCGCAGCTTCACAGTCTCCGCGAGGCGTCGCCCGGGGCCGCGGGCTCGCGCACAAGGTTTCGTCGACCTGTCTTGCGCGTGCCGCCGTGTGCAAGACATTCCGCCTTGCACGCGACTGTTGCGGCAAGGCGTTCCGCCTTGCGTGCGAAGTGCGCCAGCCGCGGTAACCTACGCGCCTCCCAGAGTCCTGCGAGGCGTCGCCGTGCCAGACTCTCCGAAAGCGCTTGGGACGCCTTTTCAGACGGTGTGATTCAGACGTAATTTATTTAAAATTGAGTAATTTAGGCGCGCAATGAATTTAATATTGAATGATTTTGCTCGAGTCATTTACCTTGCGCCGAGTCGTCACGACACAAACCTACCGTATGTTGTGCTACGCTTGTGATGCAATCTGTGTGGTGCAATGTTCGTGGTTCAGTAATTATATGTGATGGAGTTCATATCGTGCAAGCTGTGTTTCGCAGTGCATGATATGCAGTTTACGATGGTCATATAGCGTGGTGCGATATATGTGGTACAAACAATGCGTGTTTCAATTCATGTGGGGCAAAATGCGTTATGCATCTTATGAGGCACAACCTGTGTTGTACAAAATAGTTGGAGCAATTTCTGTTGTGTAAAACATGTAGTGTAATATATGTCGTGCAACCCATGCTGTGTTATCTACGCTGTGCAATATTCAGCTTTTCCCAGGGCTATGATCCACTAGTGGCGTTTTTTCCATACTCTTTTAGCCTCCTCTTTTTTTGTTGGTTTCGTTCTTGCGGCGCGCGCTGGACTCGCTCTCCGCACCCCGTTGTTCATTACCGTTTTTGTGTGATCCGGGCCCTATGGATTGGCACCCTCTTTCTCGATGGGGATGGCTGAATCGCGGGCTCGCGCGTGCCCATTGCTGCGCATCTCGCTCACATGGTTCGCGGCCATGGCGGTTGCGCGGGGCGGGGCCCGGTGCGTGCCCAACGGCATGCACTTTTCATTATAGCGGCGGAGTCGTCTTGAACGCGTGGTCTCTATTCTGGCGCGGTTTGGAAGTTGCCCGCCAACGCCTTCTCGACACTGTCAAACACTCGCAGGTGGCCATGCACCGCCGCGCAGGCACTCGGAGGCCTCCGCCCAGCGTCGCGCCCAGGGGGCCGCGTAGTGAGTCGGGCGAGTGTTTCTCAGTCTTGCTGGTCGCCCTCGGCATCCTTGCGCGCGCTGACAAGGGGCGTTTTCTGCAGACCGCTGCTGGAGGCCCATCGAGCCCCAACGCATATTGAATTGTTGATGAGGGAGCTTGAGCGTGTTCCAGCATGTGCAAGAGCGTTAGGTTGCAGAGGGAGGCCTTGGCCACAGAGGTCCGAAATAGATGCCTTGGCCGGTGGGCCACTATAAAAACACAGCGTGATTCATACTCCACCAAAGGCCCCAGTGGGGGTGCCCGCATGCGTCCGCCCAACCCGGTACAGCACTTCTTGGCCCCGTAGGGGGCTCCGCCGAATGCCCCAGTGGGGGTGCCCGCATGCGACCGCCACGCCCAGTATAGCGCCCCGTGGCCCCATAGGGAGTTCCACCGAAGGCCCCAGTGGGGGTGCCCGCGTGCGTCCGCCGCACCCAGTACAGCGTTTCGTGGCTTCGTGGGGAGCTCCTCCGAAGGCATGCGTCCGCTGACCCAGTACAGCGCTTCGTGGCTCCATAACGGGAGCTCCACCGAAGGCCCCAGGGGGGGTGCCCGCATGCGTTCGCAACACCCAGTACAGCGTTTCGTGGTCCCATATGGGGCTCCACCAACACTCAGTACAGCGCTTCGTGGCCCCAAAGGGAACTCCACCGAACGTTCACATACGTCCTAACCATTCGTCCCCCCTGCTCGCACTGCACCGCGCCTCGTTCTTCCTACGGCGCGCTGCCTGTGAGAGCTGAGGGTATCCCGCATGCGCTATTCGGGGGTTTGCGTACCCTCCACCTTCGTCTCACCTCCATCGCAGTTCTCGCAACTGCATGTGGCGAGGTCTTTCGTCAGGCTAGTTGTTTCCCCAACAGTCCTGTGGTGTTGGGTCCGACACCGCCCCGCGTCCTCACTCCCGCTGCCGCTCCTCATCCTTTCATCATCACCATCAGCTGCATCAACAGCAGCATCATCATCATCAGCATCATCACCATCATCATCATCACCATCACCATCATCATCACCACCATCATCATCACCATCATCATCGTCATCGCCCGTTTCAGCACACCTCTCACACGTTTCGTGGCCCCATAGGGAGCCCCACCGAAGGCTCCAGTGGCGGTGTTCGCATGCGTCCCCGCCACTGAAATCGGCCCACCCCTCGCACGTTTCGTTGCCCCATACGGAGCTCCACCGAAGGCCCCAACGGCGGTGTTCGCATGCGTCCCTGCCACTGAGATCGGCCCCACCCCTCGCACGCTCGGTGGCCCCAGCGGGAGCTCCACCGAAGGCCCCAGTGGCGGTGTTCGCATGCGTCCCCGCCACCAATTTCGGCACACCCCGCACACGCTTCGTGACCCCATAGGGCGCTCCACCGACGGCGCCAATGGCGGTGTCCGCATGCGCCCCCGCAGCCCATTTCGGCAC